GGGTTGGAGATTGCTTGTTTTGGGACCAAGCTTGCCACCTTGCCGTCGCCGAGCCTGGGGGTTGAGGAGGACATAGGCGGTGCACCCCCAGACGCGAAGGGGGCGAGCAGTGGGTGTTTTCCCGAGCCAGAGCGTGGTGGGAGTGGTGTCGGGGAGATGCGGGTGGTGATACATATTGTAGAGGAGGGCGGCATGGTAGAGAGCGTACCCCCAGAGCGAGAGCGGTGCGTGGGAGTGGCTGAGGAGACAGCGAGTGATTTGCACCAAGGTGTGATTACGGCTCTCCGCTATGCCGTTCTGCTGCGGGCTGTCAGGAAGGGTGAAGTTTTGCAGAATGCCGAGGGAGGAGCAGAAGGCTTCAAGTTTGGTGTTGCAAAATTTACCACCACCATCCGAATGAAGGCGCTTGACCTTGGTGCCAAAGGTGGTATGTGCTTGGTTAACCCATGCCATGATGGCCTCTGGAGCTTCAGCCTTAGTGTGGAGGAGGTGCACAGAGACGTAACGGGTGTGGTCATCAACTATCAGAAGGAAATGGCGATGGCCACCTCGTGCGGCAACCGGGGCAGGGCCCCAGATGTCCATGTGCACTAGATCCAATGGGGCTGCTGCTACTGAGGGTGAGGCAGGGTGGGGCTGTTGGCGTAGCTTGCTCTTGGTACAGTCAAGGCACGTGGGAGCGGGCGAGTCAGGTGGTGGAGGAAGTGAGGCTGGCAGGCCGAGAAGAAGCTTCTTGGAGGCCATGTCAGCAAGCGTGCGGAAGTTTGGGTGCCCGAGCCGATGGTGGTAGAGGATGGTCGGATTAGTGAAACTGCGACATGAGCATGGTGTGATAGCAGCCTGTGCTTGGGTGGTTGACACCTGTGGGATAGGTACACGCAGCGTGTAGAGGCTGCTGCTGTTGAGGGTGAAGCGAGCTAAGACCTTGTTGGTGAGTGGGTCAATGATGTCACAATAGTCCTCGTATTCCGAGATTATGGTGCGGAGCCCAGCCTCCTGAAGTTCCTTTTGTGCCAATAGATTGTGGCGTAGTGAGGGCACGCACATGCCAGTGACAGTGCCGGATGGGAATGCGGGGCATGAGACAGTGGACGAACCCTTGGCAAAAGTGGTGAAGCTTGAATCAGCTCCCAAGAGAGGAATGGGAGTAGAGTAGGGTTTGAAGGAGAGTGTCTCTTTGAGCACTGTGTGAGTGGCACCATTGTCGAGTGTGAATTCTATGTATTGTGGTGTTTGTGATGAGCCGATGTACTGGGAGCTTGCTTCATTAATCATGGCAGTGCCAGGGAACAGCAAGTTGAACGCACATCAGCAGGAGCACTATCACTAGCACTAGCCGGAGCGGGGTCTTGGACCTCAACTAGGTTAGCCTTACGAGGGAGCATCCAGTTCGGCGGCTTCTTGTCGACTCCGTGGATGGCATACCATTCGTCGTCTTTCATCTTGAAGCACGTGGCGAGGGGTGGTTGGTGCCACCACACACGTGTCCCTTGCGGTTGCCATACTTGACGACATAGGTGCACGGGGGGAAGCGGTTGCGCTGGAAGGGTGCCGAGGCGACACTTGCTTGAGGCACGGGAGCACGGAGGGCGTAAGCCTTGGCTTGAGCTGTGGAATCTTTCTCGGCAGAGAGGAGGGTGGAGGAGACCTTAGCAAAGGTGAGGTCTTCCGCCGAGGATGTGAGGAGCATCTTCCTCGTGACTTCGTATGCCGAGGTGAGGCCAACAAGAAAGGCGGCTGCAGGAGCTTGTTCGGGGAAGGCTATACCCAGCTCCTTGAGTTCGCCGTGAATGGTTTGCACCTTGGCAATGTAGTCGGCCATTCCCGAGCAATCCTCAAGGCGGACTTGGAACATGCTGGGGATGAGAATGGCAACTCCGACTGCCGTCTTGTTCATGAAACGATCCTGAAGATACTTCCGGATGGCGTTGGAGGTGAGATAGTTGTGGAACGTGTTGACAAGATCGGGAGGGGTGGATCCGATAAAGACGCTGATGATAGCAGCATCGGCCTTCTCCCATTTACGGTATTTGTCAACAGCACCCCCGTACGCCTTCATGTCAGCATCACTTGCAGGATCGGTAGGCTCAATGGGGGGAGGGGGTTGTTTCCCCTTGCCACGGTTGAGGAGGACATCCTTGAGGTCCAATCCCTGCACGTCACGGCTCAGGAGGTGCTTGTCAACCCCGTAGCTCCATGCCTTGAAGTTGGAACTAGAGCCGTCGGCTTCAAGGCGGAGTGGGGTGATGGGGTTGGCGAAGGTGGACGAGGTGAGGGCCATGATGAAGACTCATTTTGTGTCTCGCGCGAAGCGCCGCTCTTAAGTCACCGATAGGAACTTGAGGTTTAGGTTTCCGAAGGAGAATTTGAAGAACTAAGGTTTAGGGTTTACGAAAGAGAATCTTGAGGTTTAGGGTTTTCGAAGGAGAATTTGAAGGAAACGCCGATTTCAGAACTATCGATTAACTGCTAACCCAGATCCCCCCCGGCCCAGTCCCTCAGCTTCGCGGCTTCGCTGCTACACGGCTGCTCAGCTGCGTGGCTGCACCTGTTTAGCTGCGGGACGATGGGAGTGCCGATGCGGGGCGACGGGCGGCAGCCCGAAGGTGACGCTGTGGGGCGACGGGCGACAGCCCGACGAGAAGCTGCAGGGCGACGGGCGGCGGCCCGACGAGAAGCTGCAGGGCGACGGGCGACGGCCCGACGAGAAGCTGCAGGGCGACAGGCGACGGCCCGACGAGAAGAATTGGCGGGAACGTTTTTTAGGGTTAAAACGCGATTAGTGAAAGTGCCAATGATGCGCTTACCAGAGAAGTCGCGGAAGTCGTCGAGAGTGTAGGGAGAGTGGCGCGGGAACGTTTCCGGCCACAAATGTCGCGAATCGCCGGCGACGGAATTGATGGCGGCTACGCCGAAGAATGCGGGACAAGAGTCCGCAGAGATAGGAGGATCACGATACGCGTTTGCGTTTGTAGAGCTCTGATACCATGTTAGAACTTGAGCTTAGAATCCATACATTAGTAATGAGCTCAAGGCTCTTTAAGTACATCGAAAATGGGCAAGGTAAGGATGGAAAGAGAATCGGGGGCAATCCTAGGGGATTGGGGGTAATCCCAAGGCAATCTCCAATTGGTGGGTTGGAGATTGCTTAGAGATCACATTTGGGTTTGGTTGGGATGTGGGTGTACACCCAACCAAACACAAAGTGCACACTACACTAGGATATAAAAGTTCAAGTACAAATGTGAGATTGAGGGCTAACACTAACAGAGGGGACGTGTAGACTGAGACTGAGGGGAAGATGGGACAGGGGAGGGTGGAGGTGTGTCGACCGGTGATGGTGAAGCTCGAACCAGCTCCATAGATAGTGGAGGGAGTGGGGAGGGGTATGAGTGTGCCGGCGTCGCGAAGGACAGTGTGTGTGTCTCCACTGTAAAGGATGAACTCAAGGGGTGCAGAGGAGGAGGAAGAAGAAGAATACTGGAAGAGAGTCTCATTAATAGCATGGGCATACAAAATCGTAGAAGGAGGAGCAGTGCTAACATGGCCTATGAATCCAGTGGAGGGAAACGGAGTAAAGCCAGGAGAGGAGGAGGAGGGCTGTTCGGCAAGATTAGCAGCAGATGCAGGAGGTCCAAAGGCATATCCGGGAGGTGTGTAGGGAGGGTAAGGCCAGCTAGCATAGGGTGAAGGATAGTGAGGGGGGGGAGCTTGAGGGGGAGGTGTGGGTGGAGGAGGAGTGGGAGTGGTGGGAGTACGGGTGGATGGAGGGAGGAGATGCTGAACTTGCTGAAGGATGTGAGATGGGAGATGCTGAGTGAAGACATTGTGGAGGTTGGGGGTGGAGGGTTGATAGGCAAGGAGAGTGCGGATGTCATAAATAGAGGGGCGTGGGAAAATAGTGTTCCAGCGAGGTGGGGTGCCAACGTTACCACGTGCAAACCACTCGTCAGTGAGGGCTTTGAAGCACGTGTCGGTCGTGTGAATGGTCTGAGAGCACGGCTGACCTTTGTTGGAGCCATGGCGAATGATGTACTGACACGGGGGGAGGGTGCCCGAGGGTGAGGGATATCCGCCGCGCCCACCACGGCCACCACCGCGACCACCTCCACGTCCTCCGCCTCGTCCACCACCATGTCCACCACCACGACCAGTGCCGCCTGGGCCGCCACCTCCTCCGCTGTTGTGGTTGCCTGAGGGAGTTTTGCGAGTCTGGACAGCATTGACAATGGTAGATTCACGTTGAATGTCTGCTTCGCTGTCAAGAAGCAACTCAATGATGTCAGCCACAGGAGGAGGATGACGGTAGCGGGAGGTGAAGGTGATGCGGTAGGTGTCATATGTGGGGGAGAGGCAGTCGAGGATGCGTGCAGTGAGAAAGGACTCATGAATGACAATGCACCCGTCGTTGAGGCGTTGCGCAGTGTCAATGAGGCGACGGGTGTAGGCAGCAGCAGTGGGGGAGGAGTCAAGGGTAGTGTCTTGGAATTTGCGGAAAAGGGCAAGGAGTGAGCGAATATCCTGGCGATCGTACTGAGTGGAGAGAGTTTTCCAAATACCAGAGGAGGAGGTGGGACAGAGGTCGCGTCTGAGGTGTGATGGGATGCAAGAGAAGATGGCGAGAGCGCGACGATCTGCAACCCGCCATGCTACGACATTCTTGTGGAGCTTGCGAAGCTCCTCGGCATGGTCCCGCTCATCTTGTGCATAGGAGAGGATGCACGCATTGGCATCGGTGTGTGCCTTCTCCGCAGCACGGTGCGCCTCACGCTGGATAGTGTAGGTGTCGCGTAGCTTGTTGTAGGCGTTCAAGTTGGCCGCTCAGCGATCCGGGTTGTCATCATGAACTGGGGCACGAGAGGGTTCGGGAAGAGGTCTGGAGGAGGAGGGGCGTGGGGTGGAGGATGTTCAAGAAGAGGGGGGAGAACGAGAGGAAGGCCGTTAGGGTGCCCGAAAACTACGTCAAGGAGACAGTAGTCTTGAATAGTGACGGAGCCAAGATGGATGTGAAGCGTATCCTCAAACGACGCCCAGTTCACGCCCGTAGTGTCATGGAGGAGTTCGAGCTTGTCAATAGCTCCAAGCTCAATGGGAGTAGAGTCGTCCGCCATGAGGGGGAAGAGGGGGGGGAGAGGGTGACGACACCGGCTGGAGGGCGGGTGCGGTCAAAGAGGGGGGGGGGACGACACCACCTGGAAGGGTGGTGCGGTCACGTTGCGCGCGCCTGCACCGTGTCACCCGCGGCAGTGCCTCGTCGCCCGCGGTTGCGCCTTGTCGCCCGCAGCTGCGCCTTGTCGCCCGCGGCTGCGCCTTGTCGCCCGCGGTTGCTCCTGGCTGCGTCGCTCGCGGCTGCTCCTGGTCGCGTCCGCGGCGGTCGCCCCTGCTAGTCGCGTCCTCGGCGGTCGCCCCTGCTAGTCGCCTCCGCGGCGGTCGGCCCTGCTAGTCGTGTCCGCGGCGGTCGCCCCTGCTGGTCGCGTCCGCGACGGTCGTCCCCGCTGGTCGCGTCCGAGGCGGTCGTCCCCGCTGGTCGCGTCCGCGGCGGTCGTCCCCGCTGGTCGCCTCCGCGGCGGTCGCCCGCGCTCGTCGCGGATGTGGCGTCCGCCCTTGTCGTGGTGGTTTAGGTCAAGACGAGCGCCCGCGTTCGTCGTGGCAGAGGCGCCCGTCCGCAATTTAGGTCACGACGGTCGCGCTGACCGTTCCGACGGTCGCGCTGACCGTTCCGACGGTCGCGCTGACCGTTCCGACGGTCGCGCTGGCCGTTCCGACGGTTTGCGTGGCCGTTCCGACGATCGGCGCGTTCGTAGGAGAGAGGGGAGGGCCGTGAGAGGCGGAATTGACCGTAGGAAGGGGGGAGGGGCATTGGATTTTAGCGCAAGGGGAGGGGGGCCGTGACGGCGTAGGAGCGCACTAGGCGCGAAGAGCGACGTAGTGTCGCGTGAGAGAGGGGGGCGTGATACGGCACGCGTTATGTCAGGACCTTAGGATCGAAGATGGTGTGAGCCGTAGTTGCTCTGATACCATATGAGAAAGATTGAAGAAGAACCGATATATTGATTAGGAGATGCATGGGTTTACATAGTTGAGCTAGGATGGAGGAACCTTGCCAACATTATTGGCCCCCACCAATAAGTTGGGTTGAGGAGTTATTGGGGGGAGCAATAATGTTGACCAAAGTGGGTCAACATTATTGGGGGGGGCAATAATCTCCCAACCGAACCTTGGGGGCCCAATAATTGGGCCAAGGTTGGGTTCCAACCTCAAACTAGGGTTAACCCTAGTTGTGCACTTAAACTAAGTTTGGGTGCATATCTCTACCCAAAGCTTATACGATAGATGTAGGTTACAATGAAGATGATAATCATACAAGGTATTCCCTCTACTGTACTGTTCATCATAGTGCTAGCCGTGTGGGTGGCGATGGACATGCTGGCAGACACCTTTGCAGCCATGGACATCTTTCTCTCTTGGCTCTCATCTCCCCCTCTTCCCCCCTCTCCCTCTCCCTCCCAACCCCAGGTGTTCCCTCTGCTGCTCATCATAGTGCTCATCGTGTGGGTGGCAATGAACATGCTGGCAGACACCTTTGCAGCCATGGACATCTTTCTCATCGAGGTGCAACTGCTCGTCATGGTCGCCTCCTTCAACCTCAACTTCCCCGCCTCCTGGGTCAAGACCATCGTACTGCTCTACAACATCGCTGCTTTTGATCCCGTGAGTTTTGCTAACTTTAACCATGCCAGTGGCTCTCAACTCTCAACATCAAGTGGACTCTCAAAGGTTTGGGTCAAGACCATCGTGTTGCTCTACAATATCGCCGTTTTTTATCCCATGAGTGGCGTTGCTGACCTTTTAATAAACTTGGATGCGCCTGAAACGAAAGTTAGAGTGCACAGACGGATTTCGTAACAGCTTTCAAACTTAATTACGAGCAGGATGCGACACCAAATTGTGTGCTATAGCCTATAGTAGGATCTAGAGCATTTCAACGCCGCCTTCAAATAGTAAGTTGAATCGCATGACCTCATAAAGCAATGACAACGCACATATGGTAGACCACAAACTGTCTCAAAACCACCTACCAAAATGGTTTAGCAGACATTTGGACTATGTTGATGTGTGTTGTCATGGTGAGTTGCACGCTGCAACGATGTGCTACCATTTTCAACCTAAACGCACACATCGTCAACCACTATGTAACAATTCGTTACAGTTTTCACTATCTTTATGTTTGTCGTTATGGCAAGCTTCAAGCATATATTGATGCTTGAAAGTCTAGGTCTGGGTTTTCGTAACCTTGATTTCGTTGAATTTTCGATGATTTGCTGTACTCACATCTGGCATGTCGAACGTTCGACATGCGGCAAAATAAAGCGCACAACACAAACTCAGCACTCACATACAATATTGTGGTTTTTACCATTGAAGCAATCGAATCAAATATGATCGCACTCACGTGTCACAATCATATAATTTCAAACAAACTATGAGGTTGCACAGACATCTCCGACACCTTATGAGCGTGACATAGATAGATAAGCCCGTTCCGAGAACTCTCGAAAATCGGTCCTGTTGATAGCTCTGAAAGTTCCCACGTTGCATCCGATATGGTGCTCAAAGATATACAAGTCGAGTTTTGAGTCGACTCAAAAGTCGACTCAAAACTCGCATTCGTTATGGTGCTCAAGGATACAATATTGTGGTTTTTACCATTGAAGCAATCGAATCAAATATGATCGCACTCACGTGTCACAATCATATAATTTCAAACAAACTATGAGGTTGCACAGACATCTCCGACACCTTATGAGCATGACATAGATAGATAAGCCCGTTCCGAGAACTCTCGAAAATCGGTCCTGTTGATAGCTCTGAAAGTTCCCACGTTGCATCCGATATGGTGCTCAAAGATATACAAGTCGAGTTTTGAGTCGACTCAAAAGTCGACTCAAAACTCGCATTCGTTATGGTGCTCAAGGATATACAGTGTTTCGGATGAATCAGAGCCGGACTTGGTTGTCGGCTGCAGAAACTCGGTCCTGTTGATAGCTCTGAGAGTTCCCACATGGCATTCGTTATGTGGTGCTTAAAGAGATACACAGTTATGGGGGATGAATCAGAGCCGAACTTGGTTGTCGGATCGGAGTCAATTGGGTTCAACCTTCCGGCCGCAGAAATCACGTAAATTGTTGCCTTGCCGCAACACAAGTCTGCACCTTACTTTGTCTGGAAGGTGCAGACATGATTGTAGTGTTAGAAATCTATATCTAGCATGCTAAGAGTAAAAGGGGTTGGAACCCACTCTTTGCAACCCACAAGTTGGGTGCCCCCTCCTTGCAACCCACATGGTCCTTGTTGCAAGTTGGGTGCCCCCTCCTTGCAAGTTCTCATAGGGACTTGCCAACCACCCAACTTTCCCCCTTCCTTTCCAAGCTTCTTTTGCATCCTATCTCTCCACCATATGTATGCTCTCTTGTGACCTAATGAAGCTAATGATTCAGTTTACAACTTTCACATGTAGCACAATGGTCATTAATCACCTGACCTCCCCCCTTCTTCGTTCTTCATTTTTACCCTCCCTCTGCCTCTTTCCTCCCCATCTCTTCCCATCTTCCCCCCCCTTCCGACAGGACATCATCGGGCCAGAGTGCGCATTCTCCCTGCAGTTCACGGGAAAACTTTACGCCACCACTCTTGATTGAGACAACTCAAAAACCCTCCCCACCAAACCCAACCCCCCCTTCTCTCTGACAGGACATCATCGGGCCAGAGTGCGCGTTCTCACTGCAGTTCACAGGCAAATTCTCCCCGATTTTCCTCTCCGCACTTCTTCTCCCCCCTTTCCCCTTTCCCTGGCAGGACATCATCGGGCCAGAATGCGCGTTCTCCCTGCAGTTCACGGGCAAATTCTACGCCACCCTTTTCATCCCCGTTATAGGCCTCCTCGTTTACGCGCTCGTGTTTGCGCACCACCGCTGGCTGGGCGGCTCTTTTTTCGTGCGCGTGCACTCGTGGCAGCGCAAGGAGCGGCAGCGGCAGCGCCTGGCGCTGCAGCGCTCGGTAACGAAGCGGCGGGCTTATAACGAGTACGAGAACTCGATCGTGCACGCGTCGCTAAAATGGCTGGACATCTGCTATGTATCCGTGATGGTTAAAGTGCTTCAAGTCTTCAAGTCCCAGGAGATCGGCACATCAACGGTTATGGCAGCAGCACCGCAGATCGAGTGGCTGTCATCAGCCCACGTGGGCATGCTGGTAACCGCAGTGCTGGTTACGGTGGTGTACCTGGTGGGGCTGCCTCTACTGTTCGCTGGCGTTCTCGTGGACGCTCACACGTGTGACGTGCTCTCCTCCACTCTCTTCAAGCAGCGCTTTGGCTGGCTCACCGAGCGATTCCGACCCAAGTTCTGGTGGTGAGTGGTGCGGTGGTGCGGTGGTGGTTAGCTGACAGGTCACTGAATGGGACTGCACTGGGGTATTTGGTGCGGCTGTCTGCCTGTGCTGGTGGGACTGCCTCTGCTGTTCACTGGCGTGTTGGTGGACGCTCACACGTGCGATGTGCTCTCCTCAAGCAGCACTTTGGCTGGCTCATCGAATGATTTCGGCCCAAGTTCTGGTGGTGAGTGGAGACTAGTTATCTACCAGATTATTACCATAACGGGCTGTGCTGGTGTACCTGGTGGGGCTGCCTCTGCTGTTGGCTGTCTCTGCTGTTCGCTGCCTGTGCTGTTGGCTGCTGTGCTGTTGGCTGCTGTGCTGTTGGCTGCTGTGCTGTTGGCTGCTGTGCTGTTGGCTGCTGTGCTGTTGGCTGCTGTGCTGTTGGCTGCTGTGCTGTTGGCTGCTGTGCTGTTGGCTGCTGTGCTGTTGGCTGCTGTGCTGTTGGCTGCTGTGCTGTTGGCTGCTGTGCTGTTGGCTGCTGTGCTGTTGGCTGCTGTGCTGTTGGCTGCTGTGCTGTTGGCTGCTGTGCTGTTGGCTGCTGTGCTGTTGGCTGCTGTGCTGTTGGCTGCTGTGCTGTTGGCTGCTGTGCTGTTGGCTGCTGTGCTGTTGGCTGCCTGTGCTGTTGGCTGCTGTGCTGTTGCTGCATGGTTTCATCCCTTTTTATATAGCCTCGTATTGCTTCGTTCTCTCATTCTCTCCTCTCTCCACTGCTGCAACTCACAGGTGGCACCTCACGAACATAGGCATGAGGGTGCTGCACGGCTGTATCCTTGTGTTCCTGCAGCAAGAAACCGAGTCGCAGGCAAGTGCATGATAACAGACCTCTAGTCTCCCCCACTGCTTGGAAACATGCTGCTTTTCTTGTCAGGACTTGAGCTTAGAATCCATGCATTAGTAATGAGCTCAAGGCTCTTTAAGTACATCGGAAATGGGCAAGGTAAGGATGGGAGAGAATTGGGGGCAATCCTAGGGGATCGGGGGTAATCCCAAGGCAATCTCCAATTGGTGGGTTGGAGATTGCTTGGAGATCACATTTGGGTTTGGTTGGGATGTGGGTGTACACCCAACCAAACACAAAGTGCACACTACACTAGGATATAAAAGTGCAAGTACAAAATGTGAGATTGAGGGCTAACACTAACATTTCTATCCCATGCTGCACTGCTGTATCCTTGTGTTCCTGCAGCAAGAAATCGAGTCGCAGGTAAGTGACTAGGCGCTACACAACCCTACTCTAGTACCACACATGCACAATCCTTAGATTCAGGCTTCAGCCCCCCCTTCCTCACTCCCTTCTCCCCTCCTCCCCACTTCCCATCCTCTCGTCCTCCTCTTCTCCCCTCCTCCCCTCCTCCCATCTTTTCCTCCTCCCCTCCCCTCGCCCCCACAGGTCATCATAATTCTGCTAATCCAAGCCCTCCGCATAGCCACGCACTACAAGACTGCACCGCTCGCCTCGCTCTCCCTCGAGTACCTGCAAGCCTTCCTCACTCTCGGCCAGTTCTTCTTCACCCTCTCCCTCCTCTCATACAACTACCTCTCCCTCTCCCTCTTCTCCCAAATCCTCTTCGGCTTCTCCGCGGCCTTCATCCTCATCCCCGCTACAACGCTCCTCGTTTACGACGCGATAAACAACCATCTAGAGCTCGCAAACGCGCGCATGCTACAGCGCGTGTGGCGCGCGGAGCGCAAGCGACAAAAGGCCCGCTTCGACAAAATGGACCCATATGATTTAGTCCCAGCGCAGGAGATCTGCTCCTGGTTCCGCCCTCACATAATCTTCGCGACCCTCCTTTCCAAACGCACTGAGGAGCGCACGTTGCTGCTCCGGGTTCGGGACCGGTTCGAGACGTGCCGATTGGTCGGCTTGGCGCCCATGGATTGGTTGAACCATTTGAAGAAGCCGCAGCTTTATGCGGTGCTGGCGCAGGCGTTGCTGGGAGCGAGCACGGGGCATGTGACTGTAGCGAGGGTGCCTAAAGGCGGGTGGTTCTGTAGGGAGCATGGCGTGTGGCATGCGGCCGGGGAGGAATGTGAGGGAAGGGAGGGGTCTGGAGGTGTTTCGAGTGGTGGAGGGGATGGTTCGGGGAGTGGTGAGGGGTTGGGAGGTATGGAGAGGGAAGGGGGAGAGGGGAGTGTTGGGAGGGGTGGGTTGGGTCCTCGGACGGGAGAAGGGATGGAAATCGGTGGAGGTGGGGTTGAGAGAGGTGGGGAGGAGAGGAGAAACGGTCAGCTACCCGTGTTAAACGGGCAACTGAGAGAAGATTCTTCAGGTGAATCTCAGGTGAATGGTCAGGTGGACACGGAGCAGCCGCTGCTGCAGCAGCAGCAGGTGACAGGGAGGGACACGTGGCATGAGCTGGATGAGGCTGACGTGTGGCCACCTCAGCTCGAGAGCCACGTCATCTGGGCGTCTGCCAGCGTGGCAACTGCTGACGTGGACAGCACTGGTGTCCCATCAGGACGGGGGGGGAGAGGGAGAGGCTTAGGAGGAGCAGGATGGGATGGAATTGGGAGAGTGGGTGGGGGGCTGGGCGGGGGAGGGGCGTGGGGAGTGAGAGGAGCAGGGTGGGAAGGATTGGGAGATAATGAGGCTGGGAGTGTTGGGAGTGACAGCAGCAGTGAGACTGGCAGCACGCACGGCAGCGGCGGAGGGGTGACCCTCAGAAGCATGGGTGGGGGAGGAGGGGGCATGGGTAGTGGCGTTGGGGGTGCTGATGCCTTTGCTGCTGCTGCTAGTAGGGCGGGACTGGGGCTCCGAGTTGGGCTTGTAGCAGCAGCAGGAGCAGGGGGGGTAGGAGGAGCAGGAGCGGCAGTGGGAGGGCCGGTGATGAGGAGGACGCCGTCGATTCGAGTGCAGAACCTGGTGTCGTGGGAGGAGACCCCGCATGAGGGCTTGCCGGAACAGGGAGCACCTGCTGGTGGTGCTGCCGGGATGGATGGAGCAGTGGCAGCGGGTGGGGCAGGGGCAGCAGCAGGGGCAGGCGCAGCGGCAGGGGCAGGGGAAGGGGCAGGCGGTGGGGGGGGTGAAGGAGAAGGGGCAGGAGCAGCTGTGGGGGAAGGAAGCGGAGGGGGTGGGTTGAACCCAGCGGTTGCTGGAAGGAGGCAGCGGATGGGAGGGTGGTGGGGAAGGGGAGTGCGGGTGAATGGAGCAGGGGCCGGAGGTACGGGGACCGGTGGTGCTGGTGCGGGTGTAGGGGGAACAGAGCAGCAGCAGCAACAGCAATACCAGCAGCCGCAGCAGCAGCCTCAGCAGCTGCAGGAGCAGGGGGAGCGAGCGGGTGTGGGCGGGGAGGAGTGTGTAGAGGCGCGGATGAACATGGGAGCGCTGAGCCTGGCGTTTCAGAAGCATCTCGCGCTGCTGGTGCGAGCTGAGAGGACCCGCAGCAGCGAGGCGCTGAGGCTGCTGGTGTGCTCCGAAGCCGTGCCCTCCATCCTCAGCTGGCTCACCAGCGCTGAAAGGTGAGTCCCTGCCAAAGGTAAGCAGTGGGTTGGAAGCACCTGGCGCTGCTGGTGCGCGCTGAGAGGACCCGCAGCAGTGAGGCTCTGAGGCTGCTCGTGTGCTCCGAGGCTGTTCCGTCCACCCTCAGCTGGCTTACCAGTGCTGAGAGGTGAGTGCTGGATCACCAGTGCGGGAAGGTGTGTTTAGCCAGTAATGTTGAAAGCAAGGGATGGCATGCACTGTACTTTCAGCTCGTGTGCTCCGAGGCCGTGCCGTCCATCCTCAGCTGGCTCACCAGTTCTGAGAGGTAAGTAATGGGTTTGAAACTCCGGTGCTGAGATGTGATTTTTGTTCAAAGAAGGCTGAGAGGAGACGTGATTCCCGCTCATAATTTTGACTGGTTCTCTTCCACTTTATCTCCCTTCTCTCCCTCCTGCAGCACGAGGGAGCAGCAGCTGCTGGTGGCAGTGCGGGTGATGCGATGGCTGCATGCTGTAACTTACTCCGTCCTTCCCCACATCCCTTACGCTCTCGTACGGTTGCCATCTCAGCCCTCTTCTCTGCTAATGGCCGTGCGAGTGAGAAATGCACACTTTCACTCACTCCCTCTCACTTTACTCCCCTTCTCTCCACTCTTTTCCCTCTTCTGTAACTATCCACACAGCACGAGGGAAGATCAGATGTTGCTGCGGCAGCTGCTGATGGCGGTGCGAGTGGCGGCAAGTGAGGAGGCAGGGGGGCTGGATTGGTGGAGCGGCGTCAAGTGCTTCTACTCCAAACGAGTCACCTTCAAACGGGACAAAGCAGCCCCTGTGGCGTCGGCTCCCACACCCACCCCTGCACCTTCGTACGTTCTTGCTGCTTACATGCATGCATACGTCATATGTGCGTGGATAACACACACAAACACATGTATCCATGTGCACACGTACACATACACCACTCCCGCAGTCCCTGTGGCTTCGGCTCCCACAGCCACCCCTGCACCTTCGTACGTTCTTGCTGCTTACATGCATGCACCACACATGCATGATTCAAATCAGACACGCATGATTGAGACATGCATGCACCACACATGCATGATTCAAATCAGACACGCATGATTGAGACATGCATGCACCACACATGCATGATTCAAATCAGAGACGCATGATTGAGACATGCATGCACCACACATGCATGATTCAAATCAGACACGCATGATTGAGACATGCATGCACCACACATGCATGAGTCAAATCAGACACGCATGATTGAGACATGCATGTACCACACATGCATGATTCAAACCAGACACGCATGATTGAGACATGCATGCACCACACATGCATGATTCAAATCAGACACGCATGATTGAGACATGCATGCACCACACATGCATGATTCAAATCAGACACGCATGATTGAGACATGCATGCACCACACATGCATGATTCAAATCAGACACGCATGATTGAGACATGCATGCACCACACATGCATGATTCAAATCAGACACGCATGATTGAGACATGCATGCACCACACACGCATGAGTCAATATCAGATGAGCCCATACTACATGAGCCTCACACGATTCGTTTGTGTATGTCTCGGTGCCATACCTCATGCTCATGTGCACACATAGACCCACATGCTTTCTGTCATTACCCTTCCCACCAGTCAGGATAGCTGTCGTCTCATCCCCTTCTTTCTTCTCATACTGCCCCTCCCCACCATCTCCCTCCAGCACCATTGAACTCGCCCCTCTTACCACCTAGCAGCAATCCTTCAGGCGCCTCAAAGACCGGACGCTCTCGTGATGGCACCTGGCAGCAGCCCCTTGTTGTGGGTCAATGTCTGGCTGTCAAAGGAACCCCTTGCTGCCTCTTGTGGAATGTAGCACAGGTAATCGTACCCTTTGGAGTACGTTTCATCAAAACAGCTGGGCTGCTTGATTGCACATGTGCAAGGTTGAAAAGATACAGTTGTGATATAGCTTATGCCCATCATCTGTTATCATTACTGGTCAGCGGTGCCGTGGCAGCACTTGGAGTCTGTCTGTGTGCCTTTGGGACAACTTGCTGTTTGGCTGTTGCATCAGATTACTCCTGTTGTTACCATTAACTTCTGTTTTGCATTGCAGTTGCTGTAATCCTCTCCTCTGCACCGTTACTGATAAAGCAGCAGCTCTTGTGGGGTATGAAGGAAAAAACAGAACAAGCACTAAGTGGCTTGTCCACAACAGAAATAAAAGAGAAAATGACAACAATTCTAAATGTAACACTTTTTTTCTCATGACCGGCTTATCATCATCCAAAAAACGACTTCTTGCTGTTTTCTTCCAAGCGCTTATCCCTCTGTCAAAACACATGCAGAACACAGGGAAAGATAACTAGAAGTATACCAGAAACAGGACTAGCGCAAAAGTCGAAGCCATGCTCCCTCCCATGACCTTGTCTCATGCTCCATGTCTCATGCTCCATGTCTCATGCTCCATGTTTCATGCTCCATGTTTCATGCACCATGTTTCATGCACCATGTTTCATGCTCCATGTCTCATTCTCCATATTTCATGCTCCATGTCTCATGCTCCATGTCTCATGCACCATGTCTCATGCACCATGTCTCGTGCACCATGTCACATGTAACAATGTCGCATGCACCATGTCCCATGCACCATCTCTCATGCACCATGTACCATGCTCCATGTCTCATGCTCCATGTCTCATGCTCCATGTCCCATGCACCATCTCTCATGCACCATCTCTCATGCACCATGTCTCATGCACCATGTCGCATGTACCATGTCCCATGCACCATCTCTCATGCACCATGTCTCATGCACCATCTCTCATGCAACATCTCTCATGCACCATGTCTCATGCACCATCTCTCATGCACCATGTCTCATGTACCATGTCTCATGCACCATGTCTCATGTACCACGTCGCATGCACCATGTCTCATGTACCACGTCGCATGCACCATGTCTCATGTGTACCATGTCGCATGCATCAACTCTCGTTTACCACGCCCCATTCTTTATCTCTTGTGTATGATGTCTCGTGCATCGTGCCCCACATGCCATGCCCCATACACCATCTCTCATATGTATGGGCACGAAAAGCAGTAGAAGTAAAGAACATGAAAATACGGTACAATTACATAAAAGTGAACCCTCCCTCCCCACATGCCTCTCCGTCCCCACATCCCCCTCCCTCCCCTGTGCTCACATCTTGTTTCCGGCACTCCTTGTATGCGTCAAATTTGTCCTCGCACTTGCTCTTGTCGTAGCCGTTCTTATCCAAACCTGGACACAATAATAGCGAGGACAAAATCAACGAATGCACCGGCGGCGTTTCGTAGACTAATAACAGACTACGAATGCACACACTTCAAGAATGCACCGGCGGCGGTGGAGGTGCTAGCACTGCAAATCTCGTGCATGATTGAGTTGGTACGAGTTCTCTACGGTACGGTGCAAAGTGAGGAGAGTCGGTGACAAAGGGAGTGGTCGCTATAGTCTCTAGCGCGTCGAGCGGCGGAGGAAGCGGGCGATGCGGGCGTAGCGGCGGAGGAAGCGGGCGTACATTTAAAAGAGTCCGCGTAGTGGGCGGCGCACATGTGATCGGACATGCGACCCGTTCGACGCGCCGCCTCTGCCTCGCGCGCAGCGATGGCCGACTGCTCTGTGGAACCCGGCGCCGAATCCGCCATCACTTGGCGATTCAGAGCACGCGTTCCTAAAGTGATCCGCGCTTCCCAAAAGAACGTCCCTTTTGAGATGTCTCAAAGTCGCTCCCGGAAACGGTCCCGCTCCCTAAGATTCGACGTAACGAAGAAAAGCTGACAGCTTTCGGCCACGATCGGATGGTGAAACGATACAGCTCAGGCTACGATACAGCGCGTTACGCTTTCGTGAGAGCTTCTCCTCAGTTTTGCTCTTCCTCCCTGCGCCTGGTACTGCGTTTGGAAAAGCTCTGTGCTCGATACAAATCGTCGGCTACCGGTCTTGATTTGGATTGGAAGGTGACCATTGACCAACCAGAAGGCGGCTGTGCTGTCAATGGCAGCAGCTGGCGGAAAACGAACACGAAGAGCATGAAAACGCGAGGAGCAAGCAGATGTGGAATAGATTTGTCCCAACAGTGGGAGCGATGGGGAGGGAGAGGCAGCAGCAGCCTTGAGATTGTCGAAGACGCACGACGAATCCGCGATGCTCGTTAGTTTCGTGAGAGTTTAGGGTGCGTGTGATCTGGCAAAAAGCTTGAAGTTTGAACTCTAACCGCTTTGCACCGTGGTGACACGTTACTCAACTGTATCGTACCGTGTAAAACCTTTCTGAAAGTTCGAGCTTTGGCAAAGTTCGACCCAGACCACACGCGCCCTTAGGTTCGGGAGTTAGCTCTGTAGTAAGGACGTGTATTGCGCATTTAGATGGATGCTCGTGTCAAAACGCTAGTAACCAGGTCAATCATTTGTTTCGTTTGGTTGAATTGCTAAAGTAACCTGGACAGTAAAGCCTGGCAAAAACAGACTGTCGCGAACACTGGCGACTGCGTGTCATCGAAACTCCTTCCAGAGTATCAACCATTCAAGCAGCTTGGCCGTCAATACATGCTAAACTGAACAACTGGCTCGAATGAGAACTTCCTTGAGCAGTAAGATCCGAACCTCCCCAGTATCCCAAACCTTCTCACTTCAGTTCATTTTGCTGTCTCGGACTAGCAAGTTCTAACTTGTAGCCCCTGACCAACTCACCATATGCTCTAATTCTAGGTATATTTCTCGTCGCACGACCCGATCGCTCCTGAGAAACCCCCACCGTCTCTCGCACGACCCGATCGCTCGCTTTCAGTCCTATTGACCATTGCTGATGCCCCCGCTGGCTCACTTGGAGCATTACCACTTTATTTTACATTAGGATCCTTATCAAATTTTGCTGTCACGGTATAGAATCTATCTTCGAGAAAGACATTTGAGCTTCCACGTGACAGAGTGAGTGTTGAGTACCTAAAGGCGCCAGCGTTTCTTTCCCAAAAGAGAATTTTCCCGTGCCATCGGATTTGACGCTTCACGTGGAAAGCCTTTGAAATGGAAGCTGTTCAATCGGAAGCAGCAGCTCCCCACGTGGCAGTTGCTGCGTCGGCGGAGCTCGCTGCAGGGGGGGCGAATGGCGGAGATGCGCGCGTCGATGGCGGAGCGTTGTGCGCGGATAGCGGCGCGCGCTGGGATGAAGAGAAAGTGAAACGTGGAGAGACTGGGGAAGGCAGAATAGGGGAGAAAAACGGAGAAGTAGGGGGAAAAAATGGGGTCGGAGAAAGCGGAGAAAAGAGGGAAGGTGGGAAAAAACGGGAAGGCGGGGAAGAAGCTGAAGGGGGCGCGAGTGCGCAGGACGCTAAGCCAGCATCGAATAACGCCACTAACAGGGACGCGAGCGCGCAGGACGACAAGCCGTTGTCGAAGAACGCTACTAATGGGGACGCGAGTGCGCAGGATGACAAGCCGCTGTCGAAGAACGCGCAGAAGAAACTGGCGAAGCGGCAGGCGATGCAGGAGCGGAAGGAGCGCGAGCGCGCGGAGGCGCAGCAGAAGCGCGCGGAGCAGCAGAAGCGCGCGGAGCAGGAGGCGGCGGCCAAGGAGGCGAGCATGACGGCGGAGGAGCGCGCGGAGGCCGCCGCGCGGCAGCGGGAGAAGGCGGAGGCGCGGCGGGTGGCGGAGGCGGAGAGGCGGAAGGCGTGGGCGGAAAAGGCGGAGAAGGGTCCGGGGCTGATCATTGACTTGGAGTTTGAAGAGCTGATGGGGGAGCGAGAGCTGTCGAGCCTGCAGCAGCAGGTGAGGGAAGGAGAGGGTTCGAGGTTTTTGGTTTTAGCTCATGGCTCCATGGGGCAAGGGATTTTAAGGGGCAAGGGGAAACGACGGGCGAGGGGTTCGGGGCTGATCATTGAATTGGAGTTTGAAGAGCTGATGGGGGAGAGAGAGCTGTCGAGCCTGCAGCAGCAGGTGAGGGGCAGGAGATGGGCATAGGAGGTGACCTGCATGGGGAATGAGGGTTCGAGGTTTGAGGATTTAGCCGTATGGCAGCATGGTGCAAGGGGATTGAGGGTCCGGGGCTCATCATTGACTTGTAGTTTGGGGAGAGAGAGATGTCAAGTCTGCAGCAGCAGGTGAGGGATGGCGGGTTTAGGGTTTCAAATATCGACTTCAGTGTTGGGGAGGTGATGAGGAGTGATGAAGGGCTGTGGAGCCCCTCTTGTGGTTCCAGTCCCAGTCAGCACCTAGTTGGTCTTTGAGGCGCCTCTTGTGGAGCCCCTCTTGTGGTTCCACTCCCAGTCAGCGCCTAGTTGGTTCTCCTACGTCTTTTGAGGCGCCTCGTAAGCCACTTCCCCCCCCACCCCAGGTCGTGTACTCAACTGCTTCCCCCCGACTCTCCCCATCCCATTCTACCCCCTCTCCCCATCTCTCCTTCCCCTCAGGTCATGTTCTCCTACGCTCTGAACCACTGCGGCCCATCCCCCTGCCGCCTCACCCTCTTCGGCCTCCCGCCATCCAGCCGCTTCCTGCTCCGCCTGCATCAGCGCTCAGTTTGCTTTCCATACCCCACTGTTTCCCCCATCTTTCCCCCCTCCCCTTTCCTCCCTACCCACCAGGTCATGTTTTCCTACGCACTGAACCACCGCGCCTCCTCCCCCTGCCGCCTCACCCTATCCGGCCTCCCCCCAGCCAGCCAGTTCCTGCACCGCCTGCAGCGAATCGCCGGCTTCGACAGCTGGCACGGCATGACTGTGGAACCCCGTTCCTATATCGAAGCCTGGGCAGGCAGGGAGGGGGAACTGGTGTATCTGACTGCAGATGCGGAGGAGGAGGTGGGGGAGGTGGAAGCGGGGAAGGTGTATGTGGTGGGGGGGATAGTGGATCACAATCGGTACAAGGGGTTGACTAAGGGGAAGGCGGAGAAGCAGGGGATTAAGACGGCGCGACTGCCCATTGGGAAATACCTCAACTTGAAGACTTCCAAGGTGGGTGTTCAGAATGGTGCAGTGCAGTGCTGTGCGATGGAGATGAGTGCGGTACAATTTAGTGCGGTGCAGTGAGATGTAACGTGTGGTGGGGGGGATTGTGCATCACAATCGGTACAAGGGGCTGACGAGTGGGAAGGCGGAGAAGCAGGGAATCAAGAGAGCGAGGTTGCCAATTGGGAAATACCTGAACTTGAAGACTTCCAAGGTGGGTAAGCAGAGCGATGCAGCGCAGTGTTGTGCGGTGCTGTACAGTGCACTGCAGTGCAGTGAGATGTAATGTGTAGAAAGGTAGACATTCTGGACATTGCAGGGACTGAGAGAACAGCAAGCTGTATGACAATTGACCATGTTGCCTCAGCCACCATTTTCACCCGTAGCACTACCTGCAGCACAGGGACTCGTGGCTTGTTGCTGGTAGCAGTGAACAATGTGGTGTGCATCATTCTGCAGTACGTGTAGCACAGGGACTGGGAGAAAGGCAAGCTGTATGACTGGGAGAAAGGCAAGCTGTATGACTGGGAGAAAGGCAAGCTGTATGACTGGGAGAAAGGCAAGCTGTATGACTGGGAGAAAGGCAAGCTGTATGACTGGGAGAAAGGCAAGCTGTATGACTGGGAGAAAGGCAAGCCCCTTACTGTGCTGTACTGTTTACCCTCTTCACCCCATCCCCATCTCCATCCCCCCATCCCTCTGTTCGCCCCGTGCAGGTACTGGCAGTGAACCATGTGGTGGACGTCATTTTGCAGTGCCTGCAGCACAGGGATTGGGAGAAAGCAGTGGCGGCTGTGGTGACAGCTTACTGTTTGCCCCAACCACTAATACCACCCCTATTTGTTTTCCCCGTGCAGGTATTGGCTGTGAACCACGTGGTAGACATCATGCTGCAGTACCTGCAGCACAGGGACTGGTGGCTTGTTGCTTGTTTACCATGCTGTTTGCCTCTTCCCCTGTCTGTTCGCCCCATGCAGGTATTGGCTGTGAACCACGTGGTAGACATCATGCTGCAGTACCTGCAGCACAGGGATTGGGAGAAGGCAGTGGCGGCTGTTGTGCCTGATAGGAAGAAGACGGATAGACCGGAGGGTGACAATAACGAGAGTGATACTTGCGCTAGAGAAGCTAAGAGAGCTAAATGCGAGGGCAACGAATTATGCTGTGACTGATTTTCCAGGGTTTGTTGGGTGTGTCGATTGTTTTTTGCAATGTATCATGCGTTTGGTAAATCATTAAAGGAAAAAGAAACATATGTGGTGCACTGTTAAATAAAGGGAAAATATGCGAATGGTAACAAACATGGGGCTTTATAACGCGTACGGTAACCATAACAATGCATTTTCACGCGTTTGGCAACTATACACTGGCAAGCCATCACGCGAATGGTAATTAGAAGAAACCCTCGTCCAACTTGACCCTGATTCTGGGTTTTCCGCTCGCGCCAGACTGAATTGACGAGTCCTAAAGCACGAAATTCTTACACACTTTCCGAAATTCGGACTATTTAGTGACATGTTGCTGTTTTGAAAACCGTGTTTCATATAATGCTGATATTATGGCGCTCGCAGAAAGGTGATTTTACTTAATTGTATCGTACAACCGGGGCAAAAAATATATACCCCTTTCGGATGGCAAATGATTTTGAGAGCATCAACCCTAAACTCCTTGCGACAAGGCGTTCAAGGTTATTTCTACAATAAAGGCATGCCATTCGGAAGGGTGTATTATTTTCCCACCTCCAAAATTATCTCACGTTGCATTTATTACACACAATTTTAAATACAATTATTGTCGCTTTTCCGGGAAATTTTCATCATTTTGAAATTATGCAATCATGCTTGCAAAAAATATAATTTTACTTGTTAGTACTATTTGTCCGAGCTTAAAATATATATGAAACTGCTCTGAAACTATTTGGTCCGTGGTAATTGAACAAACGCGATCCTTCAAAGTTACGGCGGGAATCGTTCAAGAACGATAAAACGGTGCGTGAAATCTTAGTCAGGATCATTTCGGCGGGAGTTTCATCTAGTTACCATTCGCGTGATCATTCGCCTGTGCTAAGTTACCAATTGCGTGAAGCGGGTTACCAAACGCGTGAAAATATACTGTACGCGTTAAAGAGCCCCATGTATGTTACCATTGGCATACTTTCCCTGAAATATATATGTGCAACTATGTTGGCTTCACCCCGAAGTACAATAAAGTACAGCACCTTATCTGCGTTCGGCAATATCGCGGTCATATTCAGTTGGATCCCATAGGCCTGCATTTCCTTCGCGACTTTTCCAAAAAACCCAGGTTTCTCCAGTAGTTGTCACCAGTCAACTCATATCGTGCTCCTGAATGTGTTGTTTCTGGAATTAGCTACGCGGCTGGCATGGCGGAGAGATTAACGCATGTTTCTCATAACGCGGTGTTAGAGCCTTTGCGATCGTCCAGCGTTAGCTCGTCTTTCAAGCATTGCGAAAAGGGAACGGCGAGTTTCACGAAAGGCGGTTACCGAATAACGAGTCGACGAACCACTGGCGATCTTCCCGATAGGAGCAGCACCGCACGATCAACCCGAGCAAGAGCTCTTCCGTCTCATCCTCGATATAGTCTATCTCGTCTAAATAGTCTAGAAACAGTTCGAGAGTGCCATTCGGTAAGTTTCTCACGGAGCTCTGCTCGCTTCGAAGGAACAGCCGACACGGGAGCTGATCAACGGTCATCCTTCGCGCAGGCTGGCAGTGCGAATCCGCGATTGCGAAGATCGCGAAATTCGCGGGGATACTTTCAGCGATGCCAGGCTGGCACGGATGACTCGGCGCGCTTCACGAGCTTCGAGCGCGAGCAGGAGGGCAATGATGCGGAGGAAAGGCAGCGGACGGCAGCTGGGCGGCAGGCCGGTGGGCGGCCGGGCGTGTCTTCTGCAGCTGGCCGGCAGGGCGACAATAGTTTCAACGGCGTGTTCCTGCTGCTTCTGCTGAATCTCTTGGCGTTCTTAGCGGATCACTTTCTACGGGTATGACTTTGCAACGGATACAACTTCTGAGCTGCCTCGATACTTGCTATAAGTTCCGTGGTCCTGCAGCTTCTTAATCATAACGCCTTTCTCTTAACCCGCCGTTGAGTCTGACACACAAATAGCATTCCTTCAGCATTCTTATCGGATCAGTTGCTACGGGTACGGACGAACAGTTTGACTGTCACTCTCCAGCAAAGGATACTAGTTCAACTCGTTCTTTTCTTTCTCCCTTGATATGACATATGCAGCTCCGTCCATTCTCCATAGCAGCCAAACAGCAAATATCCGAATTTATCATTTTTTGCGTCTCTCTCCCCTCACCTTCCCTCTCTCCCCTCTCCTCTCCTCTGCTCCCACCAGCTCCCAGTGTGGTCGTCGCTCTACCTGCACCTCACCTCCCCGCGCTGGTATCAGTTGCTTGTATCCTTCCGTTTACTTCCTTCATCTCTCCCCTCTCCCCTCTCCCCTCTCCCCTCTCCCCTCTCCCCTCTCCCCTCTCCCCTCTCCCCTCTCCCCTCTCCCCTCTCCCCTCTCCCCTCTCCAGCTCCCAGTGTGGTCGTCGCTGTACCTGCACCACGCCTCTCCGCGCTGGTACCAGTTCGTCACATCCACATTCTGCCACGCTGGCTGGTGAGTTGCTTGACAGCTGTCGAGTCTTCATTCACCCATGATCTGCAGTCTCATGGATGTCTGCTGAATTTTATGCTCTTTTTTGTCTTCTTTTAGGCATGCTTATATGCCACGTGGCATGCTCATTTGTTATGCACCAATTTCGCTCTCGTTTACCATCGATCTACCATATCCTCTTACCCAACTCCCCCCCCCCCTCCTTCCACCTCCTCCTCCCCTCTTCTGCAGGAGCCATCTTTCCAGCAACCTCTTCTTCCTCTACATATTCGGTACACTCTCTCTCTTTCTCCTCCCTCCACCTTGCCCCGTTTGCTTCTCACCATTCAGCTTACCTCCCTGCATCGCACTTCTGATCCCATTGTCCCACCTCTATCCCACAGTCCCCTCTCCATCCCATTGCTCCACCTATCACACACCCACTCTCACACAAACCCACTCTCTCATTCACACTCTCACTCACCCACTCTCTCACTCACTCATTCATTCGATCAGGGCGGCTAATAGAGAAGGAGGAGGGAACCCTGGGCCTATGGGTGACCTACCTTGTGACAGGCGCAGGCACCAACCTCGTCTCATGGCTGCTCTCCTCTCATGCGCTCTCATTCACACCCACACCCTCTCGTGCGTGTTTAAACACTCTTTCAGGTCGGCTAGTGGAGGAGGAGGAGGGCACTCTGGGTGGGCCTATGGGTGACCTACTTCGTCACAGGGGCAGGCTCCAACCTCTCCCCCTCTTCTGCTCTCTCACTCACACGCACATCCATCCACATCCTCTCATGCATCCTCAAACACTCTTTCAGGTCGGCTAGTGGAGGAGGAGGAGGGAACCCTAGGCCTGTGGGTGACATACCTCGTGACAGGCGCAGGTTCGAACCTCGTGTCATGGCTGCTGCTCCCATCATACACCGTCTCTGTCGGTGCCTCCGGTGCCGTCTTCGGCCTCTTCGTCGTCAGCGTCCTCACCCGGGTAAGTACTGATTCTCACTGCGATGAATATGGCGCGAAAGGGTGTGTGGTGCTGGGGTATTCACAAGTTGTCCTGGCTGCTCCCATCATACACCGTCTCTGTCGGTGCCTCTGGTGCTGTCTTCGGCCTCTTCGTCGTCAGCGTCCTCACCCGGGTAAGTGCTAATCCTATCATTGTTTTCAGGCGCCTCAAAAGTCTAAAACATGTGCCTCTAGCACATGTTTTGAGCACCAGAGGCTCAACAGTCGTCCATTAACTGCTGTTCGTTCTCTTTTCTCTCTGCGCTTCTTGTCTTGGCTGCTGCAGCTGCAGTGGAACTGGAGGAGGATCGTGGAAGTGACCGTGCTTGAGGTGTTTTGAAACTTGTGCGAGTTAACATCTCGTGCTAACTGTTGCTCTCTTGTTCCTGCGCGTTCATTGCCTTGTCTCCTGCAGCTACAGTGGAACTGGAGGAGGATCGTGGAGGTGGTAATTCTGGGGCAGTTCGTTGTAGAAAAGGTGAGAGTATAAGGGGGAAGGAATGGGGGAGAAGGGGGGGCAAGGTAAGGAGCAGGAGGCGGAACACCAGGAGTTGGGGGACCGTTTGCAAGGAAAGAAAAACGAACTGGAGGAGGATCGTGGAGGTCGTAATTCTGGGGCAGTTCGTTGTAGAGAAGGTGAGAGGGGGTGGGGAGGGGGGGCAAGTGGGAGGCAAGAACGAGTACCATTTGCGAAGCAGGGTAGAATAATTGGAGGAGGATAGGGGAGGTGGTCGTTCTGGGGCAGTTCGTGGTGGAAAAGGTGAGAGGTGGAGAGGAGGAGTGGGGAGGGAGAGGGGGGCAGGCAGTTTGTGGTTGAGAAGGTGAGAGGAAGGGGGGGAGGGGAAGGTTATAGAGTGTACTTCGGCAGAGAATAGCGGATCCTTTGTCTAGTGAAGGATAGTAGAGGAAGAAGGTGTTGCTAGAAGCATGTAGCTTGAGTGAGACTAGTGGCACATTCCTTACACCGCTCTCTTCATCCTCCTTCTCTCCCTCCCTTCGCTTCAATATGCTGACTTCCCTCCTTCAGGTGCTATCAGAGGCGCGTTACTCGGCAATCATGGGGGTGGGCATGGCAGCAGGGTCGGGAGTGAACCACATCGCCCACTTGGCAGGGGCGCTGCTGGGAGTGCTGCTCATCTGTCCCCGCCTCTCGCATCCTCCTCCTCCTCCTGGCCCCCCTTCCTTCTCCTGTCCATCCCTGCCCTCAACCCTCCTTCAGGTGCTATCAGAGGCGCGGAACTCGGCAATCATGGGGGTGGGCATGGCGGCAGGGTCGGGAGTGAATCACATCGCTCACCTGGCAGGGGCGCTGGTGGGAGTGCTGCTTATCTGGATGGTGTCCCGCCTTCCCGAAAGCAGCAACAGCAGCAGGGATGGTGGGGAGGGGAGTGGAAAAAACCCACGTGTGACATAGCGTGCTGCTCACCTGGCCTCGGCTGCTCCTGTGCTGCTCGCCTGCTTCTCTTCTGCTGCTGCTCCTCTGCTGCTGGTAGGAGTGCTGCTCATCTGGATGGTCTCCCGCCTGCCCGATGCCAGCAGCAGGGATGGCGGGGAGGGAAGTGGCAGGAGCCCTCGTGTGACATAGCGTGCTGCTACTTTGATGCTGCTGCTCCTCCGCTTCTCCTCTGCTGCTGCTGGGAATGCTGCTCATCTGGCTAGTATGGAGCCTGCCCACTGGGAGCAGGAACAGGGTCAGAGGGGAGGGGAGTGGCAGGAACCCTTGTGTGACCTAGCATGCTGCTCACCTGCTGCATCTCTGCTCTGCTGTTGACGCTGCGGGGAGTGCTGCTCATCTGGCTTGTATCCCTGCTGCCCGATGGGAGCAGCAGGGATGGCGGGGTGGGGAGTGGCAGGGACAGCAGCAGCAGCATGGATGGCGGGACGGCAGCTATAGAGCATGCCGCTCACTTGCTGCCCTTGTACTACTCGTTGCATGCTCCTCTGCTGCTCCTCTGCTCATCTTGCTCCTGTCTCGCTTGCTTGGGTTGGGAGGCAAGAGGGATGGCAAGCACGGGACTGGCTGGTGGCAGGTGCTCTTGTCCTGTGCCCCATTCTGTGCTCGTTCTTTCTCCTATTTTTTTCTTAATCGATTCCAGTGTTGTTTGACGTAGTGGGGTGCTCGGTTGCTTTCCATAAGCCTCCTTCCTATCCTCTCACTCACCTTGAAGTGCACGATTGCGACACAGTGTACGGTACCATTCCAGCTATACCGTATTATATTGAGACAGACTGTCTTTAGAGAGCCTTAGGCAGCACCTACACCCTGGTGGGGAAACCAACCAGGATCTTTCAAGATTGACTTTTTGCTAAAACCTGTTTAATACAATTTTTGAATAACTAGATTTGAACATTAGTAGCACAACCAAGAACCTTCATTCTCCACAAGCCTTCTTCGCGAGTTCAATACTCGCCTGGTCCTTTTGCTTCCGTACCGGTTGTATCCAGTCTGCATGTTGAAGAAACATGTCCGCAAGCATCAACCCCAACCTTCAATCCTACACATGTTTATGTATGGAATAGCCTAAACGGCTTTCAAAGTACCGGTACCTGTGGATTGGTCCAATGCTGGACGTTTAGTACGGATTACGGCAATCTCAGGACAAACTCTGCTGGACCCCCTGAAATCCCGTTACCGTATATTGGTTACGGTAGTATAAACATAATAACACCATTTGCTCTTTCTGAAAAGAGTGCTCAGCCAAACAGCTCAGAAAAAGAAGGGTGCTATTACCGTAACAATCCTGCCTTGTACTGTACGGTACGATGTGTTTTAAGGGCGTTCACCCTGTTTTAAGGAGGAGAAATTTTCAGCCACGGGCTTTGCCTCCCCCACGCTGTTAATTCCTCCTGCACTGCTGCCTGCGTGTCTGTTGTTTCCCGCTCCTGCTGCTGCTGCTGCTGCCTCCCAGTTCGTATTTTTCCTCTCAGCACTCCTACTCTAGCGGGCCAAACAGCCCCCAATCGTTGATCTGGAAGGAGGCAAGCAGCCGTTGAAACACCTTCCCGCCAAATGTCGCCCCCACCACCCTTGCCGATGCCTCCTGCACTGCTGCCAGTGTGTCTGTTGCTTTCCTGCTGATGCTGCTAGTGCTACTGATTCTGGTTCACAGGTCCTACTCTTGCGTCCCAAACAGCCCCCAGTCGTTGATCTTGAACGATGCGAGCAGCCGTAGAAACACCTGCCCGCCAGTGGTAGCCCCCACCACCCCTGTTGACGCTTCTTGCCCTGCTGCCTGGTTGTCTGCTGCTCCCCTGCTGCTGCTACTGCTGTTGCTGCTGCTGCTGCAACCTGGTTCTTTATTCTTGCGCCCCAAACAGCCCCCAGTCGTTGATCTTGAACGATGCGAGCAGCCGTTGAAACACCTGCCCGCCTGCTGTAGCCCCCAGCACCCCTGCTGACGCCTCCTGTGCTGCTGCCTGGGTGACTCCTGCCGTCCCTGCTGCTGCTGCACTCTCACTCCGCTCACTGAGTGGTGGTTTCATGAGAGAATGGATGGGTCGTGGGATCAGGAGGGAGGAGAAAAACAATGGATCGTTGGTAGGGTTGAAAAAAAAGGAGTGAAATTGGGGATCTAGTGTACCTCGGGTATTCCCAAAAGCCAATCCAACATTCTGCTGAGATCGTGCATGGGAGGAGAAACAAACAACAGAGACGTAATATTCTACTCAATGACACAGGCCCAATGAAGGGTGCTAGACGGATGGCATGCTCATTCATCCTTCATCTTGCCTACTGGACTAAGATGGCAGCGGAAAAGAGAGAGAGCGATCGTAACAAAAACGACTTCGAGTTCTGCAGCTCTGCTCCCCTGCCCAAGAATCGGGTTCTGCATCAGCATTGATTATCATGCAGGGTGCGTGCCTCTCACTAGGGCAAGCAGGCTACCAGGAAACAGGGAATCTGTACCTGATAAAGAGTGGTTCGTTGACAGTTATAAGCAAGTCTGTGTGCACGTTGCGCAGGCGAAGGTTGGCCAAGTAGACCTGGTGGTGGTGAGTGAGGGAGAGGCAGGGGCCGTGAAGTTTCAGTTTTCGAGGTGTTCTCAAAAACACCCTGCAACAGCAGGGGCCGTGAAGTTTCAGTTTTGAGGCGCCCCAGAGCTTAAGTTGAGAGGGCAACGTGCAACGTGCAACGTTTCTGTTTGCTGTGCAACGTGCACGTTGCGCAGGTGAAGATTGGGCAGGTAGAGTCATGTTTTGAGTCGACTCAAAACACGTGCACGTTGCACAGGTGAAGATTGGGCAGGTAGAGTCGTGTTTTGAGTCGACTCATAACACGTGCACGTTGCACAGGTGAAGATTGGGCAGGTAGACCTGGTGGCGGGAGGGAGGGAGGGTGGAGGAAGGGGGGGGGGTTGGGGGGGGTTGGGGGGGGTTGGGGGAGGGAGGCGAGAGGGGAAAAGGGGAGGAGGGGCACGGGACGGGAAAGTTTTGTAAGCAAAGCAAGCGGGACAGGACAGAAGGTGAGTGGTGGAAGCGTTTGAAAGCATGCAAGGGTAGATATTGGGGAGCAAAGGGACGCAAGAAGAAAAAATGTTAACTTACCCGGACCACATTCAGAGCTTCGGCACCTTGCTGACCCTTGGACACAGTCTGATACAATTTCGAAACAGGAGGAACACACAAAAAAAAAACGGGGAAGAGGGGGGGGGAGGGGAGGGGAACGTTCAACATGACAGGCACAGCAGTAGAACAGGGGGAGCTGAGACATCTCAAATGACATTACAGCGAGACATTGGCCTTCAACAAACCTCTGAGCAAGGCACAGGGCAGGCACACAGAACTCAGTAAATCAAGCATGAAACTGTGCTGTCTCTCTCTCGCAGTCCAAGTACCGATTTTTGAATTGTCTCAGAAATAGCAGTAGATCAAACGTGCGACTGTGCTCTCTCATTCCAAATACCGCACATTACCATTCTGCAAACATTGCACATTAACATTCTGCAAACATCGCACATTACCATTCTGCAAACATCGCACATTACCATTCTGCAAACATCGCACATTACCATTCTGCAAACATCGCACATTACCATTCTGCAAACATCGCACATTACCATTCTGCAAACATCGCACATTACCATTCTGCAAACATCGCACGTTACCATTCTGCAAACATCGCACATTACCATTCTGCAAACATCGCACATTACCATTCTGCAAACATCGCACATTACCATTCTGCCCACGGCATAGCTCTTAAAAACAGAGGCGTCCACATGAGGGCAGTCGGCAGAGGGGAGGGGCGCAGAGGACTCGAGAGCCTGTAGGGGCGTGGGATGCGGATGGGGCAGGGCAGTATTGCTCTTGATTACAGAGGTTTCCACGTGAGGGCAGTCGGCAGAGGGGATGGGCGCAGAGGACTCGAGAGCCTGTAGGGGCGTGGGATGGGGATGGGGTGGGGATGGGTTGGCCTCACACGGATGGGGCAGCATAGCTCTTGAATACAGGGGCGACCTGAGGGCAGTCGGCATATGGGAAACGAGCGCTGAGGGGTTGACACACCAGAGGGCATGTGTGGTGCAGGGCATGTGTGGTGCATGGCATGTGTGGTGCAGGGCATGTGTGGTGCAGGGCATGTGTGGTGCAGGGCATGTGTGGTGCATGGCATGTGTGGTGCATGGCATGTGTGGTGCATGGCATGTGTGGTGCATGGCATGTGTGGTGCACGGCATGTGTGGTGCAGGCACCCATCCTTCATGACTTTTTAAAAGCACCCTAGAATTCTAACATCCTACCATCCTGCAATCCTATCCATCCACCCTCCTCATGAAATGAGGGTGTTTTTGAGACGCCTCATTTCACATAATATAACATCCTACCATCCTGCAATCCTATCTATCCACTCCTCCCTCCTCAACGCAGTCAGCCACTCACGCTGCCAGGCTGTGCCTCCTGCTCGCGCATCAGATCCTCCAGGAACCACCTGGACGAATCAGCGTCCGCCACGTCAGCCTTCATCTCCAGCAGCTCGATCACTATGCTCTCGTCCCGACTGGCATCGCCAAACACCTCCTGATAGCCCAGGGGCGGGTGGGTGGGGGGAGGAGGGGGAGGGGGAGGGGAGGATGGGGAGGGGGAGGATGGGGAGGGGGAGGATGGGGAGGGGGAGGATGGGGAGGGGGAGGATGGGGAGGGGGAGGATGGGGAGGGGGAGGATGGGGAGGGGGAGGATGGGGAGGGGGAGGATGGGGAGGGGGAGGATGGGGAGGGGGAGGATGGGGAGGGGGAGGATGGGGAGGGGGAGGAGGGGGAGCGGGAGGAGGGGGAGGGGGAGGAGGGGCGAACATGGATACCCAGCGGCCACGGGGGAGAGAAGGTGTGCGTGGAGGAAAGAAGGTGGGGGAAAGGGAAGAATAGGGGGGAGGGAAGGAAAGCCCTTGTGACGAGTGCTACTGCTGAAGGTAGGTACTCAAGGTGTGCCTTGCAGCAAGCTCTCACGGAATTCTTTTCACCTAGAAAAAAACGACTAGAGGCTGCGGAACAATTGTGGAAATCAGTCAGGAACGACCCTGGTTGACGTTTGATGAAATGAAACGAGACATTCGTTATAAGCACTACAATACCTCGCCTGGTTGTCACCTCACCTGGTTGTTGGGAACTTCTCGGAAGTTGCTAATGTCCTGCCAGGAGAGAGAGAGGCACAGCAACGTCGAGACATTCGTTATAAGCACTACAACACGGCAATATGTGATGAGGTATGTGTTATTATGGTTGCACTGTAAGCACTACAACCGAAAAACAAGGCTGCGTGAAACGAGTACATTGAGCTGGAACGCATACCGACGAGAAATATACCGAGTTTCACCTACCAATTTACATAATTCAGTCATGTTTGAGCTCTCGCATTGTTCTTATAACGAGTACATTGAGCTCTCGCATAACGAGTCATATAACAAGTACATTGAGCTCTCGCATAACGAGTCATATAACGAGTACATTGAGCTCTCGCATTGCTCAGTCATGTTGGCGTGTTCTTCCAAATTCAGATTCAGACACGGATTCACTAGAACGGCCCTCCGTACCTCAAATCGCGGCGGGAAATCCGCCTGAATCGCACCGCCGAACAGCGCGTGTCGCTGCATCTCCTCTCCCGCGGCTCCCGCTAGCTGCCTCTGTGGTTGCTGGGATTGCGACGACGGGTGGTCGTGATAGCACGCTCCCGGCATCCCCATGGCTTCAAAGCTATTGAGAGCTGAGTTTCGTGCTTGCACTGAATTCGACCTACTCGTGATTGAAACGCCTGCTCGCACGAGATTTCACTTATTCGTGCTTGAGACCACTTGTATTGTAGAAATATCGCTCTGAAGTGTTCAAAACTCTTGCTTGCACAAGATTCTATCGATTCGTTTTTGTGTGCTAAGGCCTACTACTTCACCTTAGTCGGCTTGGCAAAGAGACTAGAACAGAGCCCGTGTGAGCTTATTACATGGTACATTCGTAAGGGCGTGTAAATTTGTAGCGCCAAACGAAATGGTCGACCAATTGAGGACATATCGAGCCTGGGCTCAATGTGGAGTGACATTGAGCCTCGTCAAACGACCGAGCCTGCTTCGAGCCTGGCTCTACTGGCGGGGAGAATGCGTGGCAATAAGTTTTTGCGAAGAAAATATTAGAAACGACCTGCACTCAGCGAACATCTGATACATTACAACCTTCGTAAACATGGAGAGTTTCGCACATACTGAGTTTTTATTTGGTCTGCACACGTTTGGATGTATGACGAAACGCCTTGTTAAGTTACTGGACTGGAAATTTCGCACTCCACAAATCAAATCGAGCTTGCGCTCGAGTGCGAGGCTCAATGCGGAAATTGGGTTTCCAAATTCCCAAATTTTAAATTCCGATGGGAATTTCCGGCTACCCTATATTTTTAGGCAAATCTCGAGCCTGAACCATCGATATTCAGGCCATGTACCAGGCCCTAGCACGCGTGAATTCATTCAGTTTACAGCAACATGGGAAACATTCAGGTATTGAGTGCCTCAGTTTGATTTAGTTGGTTGGGAGATCATAAAAGTTTTCAACCATTCTATATGTAAACAGAAATTAATTCTCTATGCATTGAGTGTTACATCCTGATTGCGTGATAACTTCTTATTGCCGTATTAATACCTCCCTATTTTGATTCTAGATGTTTTCCACCAATCAAGTAGCACCCTAGTTATAGACAGTATTTTCAACAACTGTTCTATCATCATCGTGTGCTTAGAATGTATTCACAGATATAACAGAATAAGCAGCACATAAATGTCAACTATTTCACTCGATTGCACAAAGCTATTATAATAGCGGGATCTGCAAAATGGGCACTCGAAAATTCCGGCTAGGCTGAGCCGGCAGTCTTACAAGAATTGGACGGTAGCTACTAGCTAGGCGTGTCCTTATCCTGGGATGCTTGCATTTCATGGCTGGCATTCAACGATCCAGCGTGCTACTTTCCAACCGCCTTGATAATACCGCTTCCAAATCTACACCCAGTTTGAATGTGGCCCGAGCCTTCGGTGTTCCCAAGAGTAACCACTCGCAAAGCAACCAGACAAAGCCATTTCGTCAGGTGAAGCGGTCGTGGCTTGGGTCACAATTTCTTCTAACGAGCGGGTCAGGAGGCAGATGGAGGATTCCGATACGGTGGCTCGGCCAATTGTTCGCTCAGGCCATTGTGCTTATAGCGGTGGCTCAATTCGTGCACGTTGCCACGCTGTCGAGTTCTCGATGTAGTGGCGATTTGAATTCGTTAGAAGCGAAGCAAGGGAGAGAGTCGGGAACGTGGAGATTTCCAGGTTCATCTCAGCCGTTGATTCAGGGATCACGGGACAGATCTGCTGAACTGGAGCTCGACTTATCTTGGCGTTGCAAACGGGTACTGAGCAGTGCGACAATCGGTGGTAACGGTTCTGTGGTAACCAGCTCACCGTACGAAACAGCTAATGTTACAAGTAACGCATTGCCAGCTGGTACTGTGTCTTGCCAAAGAAAGCTCCGAGCAGCACTGCAGAAGTGGGCGAAAGAAGCAGCGAAACGAGACTTCGCGAGCACCAGTAACCACATTGAGGGTAGCGGAGCTCTCAAAAACGAGGACAGTCCTCACTGGGAGTTCAACGAATCACGTTCAGCAGAAATCCATCTGGATTCAATCCAAGCACGTGGTGAGCTGGGCCACGTGTGCTCTCCTGATTGGCTGAATGGCGTCATGGCTCGTTTACCTACCAGCAAGTACATGATCTCGTCGCTGAAGCGCAATAACATTTCAAGGGAGAGCCTCTTAGCGGGGATAAGATATACTTGTGATGAAATTAGAGCGGTGGAGAGGGGTTTGATTGATGGCGTCGCTTCAACAAACTGGAGTGATCAGAACAACCGTGGTAGAGTTGGCGGCTCTAGTCTCAACAGCAGCAACAGCAGCGGTGGTGGTGACACTGGTGTTGGTGACTATAGCGGGGGAGCGGAATGGCCTGAAGCATGCTGGCCCATCCCTGGCGTGCCGTTCAACAGATTCTCGGTAATGCTCCACAGATTCTCGGTAATGCTCCACAGATTCTCGGTAATGCTCCACAGATTTTCGGTAATGCTCCACACATTACGACATTCCACATTCCCACACCCAACATTCCTACAGTACAGCCCACAATTTCTCCTCTCTCTTCCAGTAATCCTCATTATCCTCTTTCTCTGTTACTTTGCTTTGCACAGCTGAACTTCTCTCTCCCCGTCCACCCCGCACCTCCCTTCAACTCATTCTCCCCACTGTTGCAGCCCTTCTCCCAGCGCCGCCGCTACCTGGTGCTGGCGGCAGTGACAGAGCAGCTGAGCAACGCGCGGGTCCACCTGGTGGAGGCGGCCAGGCTGGCGAAGAGAACAGGGCGGATCCTGGTGCTGCCCAAGGTGAGAGGCTTTCACGATGTTGTAAAAAGGAAATCCTTTGTTGTTACAGGCACGGAGCAGCTGAGCAACGCGCGGGTCCACCTGGTGGAGGCGGCATGGCTGACACAGTGGACAGGGCGAATCCTGGTGCTGCTCAAGGTGAGACGAGGAGTACGGAGAAGTCCCTGTGCTGGTTCTGAGAGAAATGGCCTTCTTGTGAGGGAAGGCAGCAACGAGCGGGTCCACCTGGTGGAGGCGGCAAGGCTGGCGAAGCGGACAGGGCGGATCTTGGTGCTGCCTAAGGCGAGGTTTCCTTTTTAACCTTAACCCCCAAAAAAAGAGACTGCAAGAGAGGTCGATGTGCAGAGCCATTGGTTGGAATCAGGCAGCTAGGCTGGCAAGGAGGACAGGGCGGATATTGGTGACGAAATAAAAGTTTTTTCGTGGTTGTCCAAGCAAAGAAGCTTCCTCTGTGTTTTTCGATTTTTTCTCCTTCCCTCCCTCCCTCTTTTCCCTGTTGTTTCCACCCTCTGACACCCCCAGGGAGCCAACAGCCGCATCTCCCTCGGCCTCCCCCTCCCATTTTGAGTTTTCCTCTCTCTGACTTTCCCCCTCACTCCCCCATTGTTTCTTCCCACCCTCTGCCACCCCCAGGGAGCCAACAGCCGCATCTCCCTCGGCCGGTCCCTCCCCATCTGCTCCTACTGGGACATTTCCCGCTTTACCCCCTACGAGTGGGTGTCCCCGGAGTTCTACCTCCTCGCAGCGCGGGCAACCCTCACGCGCCCGTCCGTGGGGTTCGTGTGGGTGCAATCGCCCAACATGATCGTGAAGGGGCCGTTCCAGGCGGGAATGGTGGTGGGGGTGGGGGGGAACGTGGGGGGGGGGCGCGGGGGGCAACGGGGGGGTAAGGGGAGACAGGGGCGTGGGAGGGGACAGGGGAGTGATGGCGCCACTGCTGGTGCATGCGCTGGGGCATGTGCCGTGTGCCGCCAACACTCTCGATGTCGCCATGCCTGCTCGCAGCGACGCCATCATCAACATGCTGCATGCGTGGTGAGAGTGGGGTGGGGTGTATGGGCGTAGGTGTGGGGATGGGGATGGGGATGGGGATGGGGATGGGGATGGGTATGGAGGTATGGGGTCAGGTCAGACGGCCGTTTGTGGGTTTGGTGTGGGTGCAATCCCCCAATATGATCGTGCGGGGGGGGGGTTCAGGTGGGGATGGTGGTGGCGGGTGGCGTGACAGTGGAGTGATGGCGCCGCTGCTGGTGCATGCGCTGGGGCATGTGCCTTGTGCCGCCAACACTCTCGAGTTTTGAGTTGACTCAAAACATGTGCCACCAACACTCTCGATGTTGCCATGCCTGCTCGCAGCGATGCCATTATCAACATGCTGCATGCCTGATGAGCGGGGTGCGTATGGGTGTGCTGAGCTGATGGATTCGCCTTGTGCATGTATGCATGGAGATGGTTGGGTGGGATGGGATGGGGTGGGATGGGATGGGGTGGGATGGGATGAGGTGGGATGGGATGGGGTGTGATGGTTCCCATGCCTGATCGCAGCAACGCTCTCATCAACATGCGTGGTGAGTTGTGTTGTGTGTAGGTGTAGGTGTGGGGATAAGGATGGGGATGGGGATGGGGATGGAAATGGTACTGGTAATGGGGATGGTAATGGTAATGGGGATGGTAATGGGGATGGTAATGGTAATGGTAATGGTAATGGGGATGGTAATGGGGATGGTAATGGGGATGTTAATGGGGATGGTAATGGGGATGGTAATGGGGATGGTAATGGGGATGGTAATGGGGATGGTAATGGGGAAGGTAATGGGGATGGTAATGGGGAAGGTAATGGGGATGGTAATGGGGATGGTAATGGGGATGGTAATGGGGATGGTAATGGGGAAGGTAATGGGGATGGTAATGGGGAATGTAATGGGGATGGTAATGGGGATGGTGATGGGGATGGTAATGGGGATGGGGATATCCATTCCCTCAGATTCCTTGGCCCTTCTTCTTCCATACGCTCACGCCATTCCCACTTGCCTTGCGTTTTCTGTAATCCTAACCCCTGGGTGCATGCAGGAGGGACAAGGGCGTAACTGTGTGGCTCAAGCACAGACCATCGCTGGTGGACTTCCCCATCCCCTCAGACCACATTTCCCTTCCTCTGCTCTGCCTCCTTACTCTCAAGCCACTCACTCTTGTCTCCCCTGTCTCTCTTCCCCCTGTCTCTCTTCTTATGCAACTTGCAACCTGTGACTCATCCAGGAGGGACAAGGATGTCATTATATGGGTGAAGCACGGCCTTTCTCGGGTGGAGATCCCCATCCCCTCAGACCGCCTTGCCCTGCGCCACGCACTTCCTCTGCTCCTGTACGCTCAAGCCCCTCATTCTTGTCTCCCCTGCCTCTCTTTTCATCCAGGAGGGACAAGGATGTCATTATATGGGTGAAGCACGGTCCCTCGCGGGTGGACTTCCCCATCCCCTCAGACCGCATTGCACTTCGCCAGCTTCCCTACAGCACCCCTCTGCACCGCACAGCACAGCGCATTGTTGCCAGCCTGCCTAAGCCCCTCATTGCCGTGCATTACCGCTCCGAGTGGATCGCCTACAGAGTGGTGAGTGGTGGTGAGGGGTAGTGAGTGGTGGCGAGAGGTGGTGAGGGGTGGTGAGAGGTGATGAGAGGGACGGTGAGGGACGGTGAGTTGTGGCTCTACAGAGCCATTACAAAAACTCCCATCACCGTGCATCATTGCCCCCCTGCCCTTCATTGCCCCCCTGCCCTTCATTGCCCCCCTGCCCTTCATTGCCCCCCTGCCCATCATTGCCCCCCTGCCCTTCATTGCCCCCCTGCCCTTCATTGCCCCCCTGCCCATCATTGCCCGCCTGCCCATCAATGCCCGCCTGCCCATCAATGCCCGCCTGCCCATCAATGCCCGCCTGCCCATCAATGCCCGCCTGCCCATCAATGCCCGCCTGCCCATCAATGCCCGCCTGCCCAAGCCCTTCATTGCCATGCACTATCGGTCTGAATGGATTGCGTACAGAGTGGTGAGCTGTGGTGGTGAGCGGTGGTGAGGGGTGGTGAGGAGTTGTGGATCCCTCTATTTCCATCGCTACTGTGTCTTCTCACGGGAAGAGCGACGCGGGGAAGGGCGTGTGGGTGATGCGGTGGTGTGCGGAGCAGGCAGTGCAGACCAGTTTTGAGGCGCCTCAAGCCTAGTCTAGTTTTGTTTTGAGGCGCCTGAAAACTAGGTGTGCGGGTGATGTGGTGGTGTGCGGAGCAGGCAGTGCAGAATATCCTGCAGGCACAGCACAGCACAGCACAGCACAGCACAGCACAGCACAGCACAGCACAGCACAGCACAGCACAGCACAGCACAGCACAGCACAGCACAGCACAGCACAGCACAGCACAGCACAACAGCAGCAGCGGCAGCACAGCAGCTGCGCCGGATCCGCCAGCTCTGTCACACCACGTGTCATCACCATCCCCACCTCCCTTCTTGATTCATGCAATTCCACTTTCCTCTCTCTTCCCCACCTCCATTCGTCCCACATCTCACTCTCACACCCTAAACCCAGGCAAAGACGATCGGCAAGGCGCCGTACGGGCGGAGCGACGTGGGGAAAGGCGTGCGGGTGATGCGGTGGTGTGCAGAGCAGGCAGTGCACACCATCCTGCAGGCTCAGCAGAATAGCAGCGCCAACAGCAGCAGCGCCAACAGCAGCAGCGCCAACAGCAGCACCGCCAACAGCAGTGCCAACAGCAGTGCCACATCAGTCTACATTGCAGCCGACGTTCCTTCCACTGCACCTGTTCCTTCTCCAAACGACCCCTCTCCGGATGGTCTTTTGAGAACGGGTCATCTTCCAGATGGCCCTTCCCCAGATACCGCCTCCCCGAAAGGCCCTTCTGTGAAAGCCCCTTCCCCAGGTGGCCCTTCGGAACATGGGTCTTCCACCCTGGCCACGTCTCATGGCGCCATACACTCTGCCTCCTGGGCTAGCACGATAAGTGCATATGGAGGGGTGGGGAACGAGCGAGAACGGCTTGTGGATGCGGCTGTGCAGGGGTTGCAGTTAATGAGGCGGTCTATAAAGGGGACGGTGATGATAGATGAGCTGCTTCCAGAAGCAGGTTCATACGACCCTGGTGAGCGCCTTTGGCTTGCATGCTGAGAGCCTGATACCCTGCGGTTGCCATTGGTTTTGACATGGTCGTTGCGTTCGATTTTGCCATTCTTGCTGCAATGTTGTGAATTGACTTTCTTTGAGTCGCCTCAAAAACATGTCCCTGGTTGGTGCCTTACCTTCGGCTCTGACACGGTTATCTGCCTCTGATTTCGCCTTGGGTTTGTGTGTGTGTGTGGTGGCTTGGGTGGGGGGGGTTGAGGGGGTGGAGAGAGGGGTTGGAGGTGGTTGTGTGCGTGCAGGAATTCTGGCGATTCTGGATAAGCTGGTCTGTGCACAAGCGGATTATTTCATTGGCGGCACGGTGGTTTGTGGAGGGAGGAGAGGTTTTGAAAGGGATATTCTCCAGCATCGAGCACTTTTTAAGAACGTGACACAAGAAAGGGATCTCAGATGGGGCACTGAGGATCTTCCGTTGGAGCTACAGTGATTTGAGATGCGTTATGGTGTCTGTTATGAACATCCAAATATATTAAAGAAATTTGGGACATTCCCAACATTTCTCTTTCTTGGTCCGTCAAGTTGCTTCCCGCCTGTGGAGAGTTGTGGTGGGCTTCTATTCATCAGTCTGTGCGTCCATATTTTATATGACATGAGATAGCACCCTCGTGTATTTAATTTCTCTGTTACGGTATGTCTTAGCCTGTTGGAGTGTTCGTATTGTTGCACGGGTTACCACACTTCGCGATTTTCCTCATCCACATTTGATGATTGGAAGGGAGGGAGCTCGTCGATACATGCACACCTCCCCTACAGTCTCTTGTGCAGAAAGTTCTCCCCCTGGTCAAGCCCTTGAATCAAACGTGACCCGGAACCAATACTGTACATTCCTCCTCGAGAGTGCAGTTCATCTCCGATCAAGAGGTGCCCCTCCGAACCGAACTGTACACCGTGTTTGCAGATACACAGCCACAGACAAACACCGCCCAGCAAGATCCATCCCCACCCATGTCCCCCAACCGACCCCCTGCCTGATAACCCAAGCCTTCCCTCCGCCACCGATTTTGCCTCTTCAAACCTCCGCCTTCCCTCCGCCACCAATTTTGGCTATTCAAAACTACTCTGCTGCTGCTAACCATTACCCTCTAGGGTTTGGATTCTAGACCAGTATTGCGACTCGTCCAAGCACAGCCTTGCTTTGCGGTGAGGGCTGTGTCACCCGGGCTGATTCATCGCGGTAGATCCTGCATTGTCGGCGCGTTCTTAATCCGGCGTGTTCTCAATCCGGCATTGGCTTCGACTGAAAGGCTCGATGGTTGCGTTTTAGAAGCGGTTGTTGCTGGTTCCAGCGGAAAGGTTTCTATCTTGGTTTCTGTCTTCCGTTTCTGAATGTGCTGCTGCCTCCGGATAAGCCACAATGGAGGCGGACCTAACGAATATGATCGACATCGAGATACGGTGCGACGGCAATGTGTTGGGAACGGTGGTAATCGATAAAGAGTGGTCACTTTCCGCGGTGCGGACGGAGATCTTTGCCGTTTTCCCAGGAACGGCTCCGGAGGAGTTTGAGTTTTGGATCCACGGTCCAGGTGAGGAGCCGAAGAAAATCTCGCATCGTCGGGAACCGCATATTTCGGCTGCAGATTTCATGCCTCCTAAAGAATTGGAGATTAGAGCTTTAGACGACTGAGGGTTATCTGTTGGTCGTTATTTACACGTGCGCTCGCTTGTAGGGGAATTCTAGCTGGGGTTTTATTCTTCCAAGTCGCCTCAAGCGATGTGAATCCACATTAGCATAGGAGGCGAGTTAATGCCGTTCGCGTCTTAGTGATTTTTTTATGATTTTAGTACTCTTTTGACTTCAATAGTTTTCTGGTGGTTTTTGCCATAAGGGTACTGGTATCTAAAGACCCATTGCATAATATTCTTTATCCCTCAATTAGCACTGGCAAGTGCTATCTGATGAGCTACAACGGTAGGTGGTGCTTAGCTACAGTAATTGTGGCTATTCTTCGTTCATCAGCTATAGAGGACTGGGGATGCTGCACATTTAGGAGAATGATAATGATAAGCAAGTGAATGCTTGTGCACTGCATCTTCATTCGAAAATTAGAGAGCACGCTGGAAACTTGCACATGCATTGCAACGCACCACAACAGCAATACAAAACGAGCTGTACAAGGAGAAAAATAGTGTTGCATATGTGCTTCTACGGTATATGTAATGAGGTAACCCATCACATTAGGGAGCCAGGCTGAGTTTTGAGGATGGAAAGCACTGCTACCGTCAACCATTTGGGAGTCAGCAAATGACTACACATACCTAACCACAATGTCACCACAGGAATACATAAGGTGACATTGTGAGGGAATTGTGTTGCTAACTTGCTACCTAGCAGGCCTCTGGACATCAGGGTGATTCACCCTTATGACACTTACTATAAGGCCGGGTTTGACTATGCACCCTTTTTTATCAGACTGGACTTTTTTATCACCCAATTAGACCCTTACGAAAAAAAGTGATTGGTTATACGACATTGATATTTCAGAGCTATGTGGTGTAGTCGCACTGATGAAACCGAGTTCGGTCTAAGAGAGGATAGAAGGATTGGTCGCGTAAAACAAGACTGACCGCATCGGATTCCCGCACTAGGTATCTAACTTCGGTCCTCCACATAACAATGACCACCCAACACACTGCAACACCAAAACCCTACGTAGCAGTGAGTGACATGTTAATAGGGCTCTTCGTTGATTTGTTTGCACCCTGATTTTTAAGAGTAGTTTTTGTGAAGTACCCTTACAGAAAGAGTGAAAGCTGGGTGTTGGCCTTTCTAGAAAGAGTACCACAAATCCTATCCAGAGGCCTGCTACCTAGCCAGCACTACGATTCATCAGACTGGACATTTTTCTTGGAGCTAAAACTCTGCCACATACGGTAGGCTTCGCGTTTTCTTAGGCGCCTACAAAAAAGCACTAGGAATCATCAGCTTGTGCATCTTTCTTGGAGCGGAAACTTGGCCACATAGGCTTCATGTTACCTAGCCCCCCCCAGCGCTTGCTCCCACTACCCGAATCCACACTTCCACCTCCCCCACCAATGTCACCACCACCACCACCACCACCAAAAGCGCCAAAACCACCAGCGTATGAACGCCTCCTGTTCCGAGAACTTTCAGAATTTCTTTTGTCTGGGGTTGCGAAGGAGCGCCGCCGGCCTATGGCTGCTAAAGACAGCCTGTGCTCGAATGCCACGTGAGGAGTGCTTTCACCAGCGGTAACAGCTGCACTGGCGGCTGCAGCAGGAGCGGCAGCAACAGCAGCAGAAGGAGCAGCAGCAGGAGAAGGAGAAGCAGAAGCTGCAGTGTTCTCCCCGCCGACCTCCAAATCTGCCACCTCAGTGGTTGTCACGCCTTCAACTGCAGTGCTGCTTTTGAACATCGTCCGAGGCGACTCCACAGGTTCGGTCGCAGTGCTGCTTCGGAAGATGTTCCATGCGCCGCGCAGCATCGGGGAGAGAGGCTTGGAGAAGGTCCGGCGAAATTTGGAAGCGTCCTTGGTGGTTGCCTGTGAACTGCCAGCCTCAGTGCCAGATGCACTCCTTTCCACACCCCCCACACCTCCCACACCCCCCACACTTGGAGATGCACCTAGTAAATCACTGCCACCAAAATTGCTGCCGCCAAAATCGCCAAGATCAGTAGCCGAAGTGGCAGCCACAGCAGCAGCATCTGTGGCCGGTGTTCTCGCTGGTCCCTCAGCTCCTGCTGAGCTGGCAGCTGTCCCTGCTGAGATGGCATGTGCAGAAAGCTCGGGTATGCTGATCTCGTTCTCAAAGACCATTGGGCGTGTAGAGAAGGCTGCAGAACCTCCTGCCGAACCTGCTGCCAAACCTCTTGCCAAACCTCCTGCCAAACCTATTGCTGGATTCGAAGCAAAAGCCGTCTCTCCTGCTGCTCCTGCTGCTGCAGCTGCTACTGACCCCGTCGTTCCTGCCTCTGCTTTACCCCAAGCTGGTGCCGCGGTTAGTGCAGAGGGGTGGCAGTGCGGGTGAGAGGAAGAGAGGGACGGGGACAGGCAGGAGGAGAGAGGAGTGACAGAGCTAGCAGCATTGGGACCACCAGCGGGGCCTAGACCCAGACCCTGTGAGTGAGGAAAACCGTGCCGCTGCTGCTGCTGGTGGTGTTGCTGCTGATGATGCTGTTGCTGCTGATGCTGATGCTGCTGGCAGTGTTGATGCTGCTGCATCTGTTGCACTCCCCCACCTGCCCAACCCCCTCCTGCATTTCCCACCCCCGTGACCGACCCTCCTGCGCCCCCAGCAGCAGCAGCAGCAGCAGCAGAGACAGCGAGAGACGGCGGCGACAGCTGCAGCAGCTGCAGCCGTTGTGCCGAAGGCCTCCCAGCATGCATGTTCACGCCCATCCTCATGCCCATGCCCAACCCCCCAACCAATGCCCCACTCATGACCACACTCTTAGAAAACCCATCCCCTGCCGCTCGGGAAAACGCCCGAGACCTGGTAGAGACCACAGGGCTGCCCAAGCCATACATGAGGCCCGAATTGGAGGGAGGAAAGTCGCACCAGAGGTCCTCATCCTCACTCCCTACTGAATCAGCCTCCCCACTCCCACTCCCGCTGCTACACCTACCAACTCTACCATCCCCTCCCCTGCGGCCGTTACAGGCGCCACCACCACCACCGCCACCGCCACCGCCACCGCCACCGCCACCGCCACCGCCGAGGGAATATGCTGAACCGCTAGTTCTGTTCTCCCCCACGGACGAATCTCCACAGTCCGTTTCTCTCCGGAACAGCAGATCCTCGCCGACCGATCTGCTCCGCCGCCGCCTCACCTGCGGCGGCTGTCCTCTCGCCCGCCTCCTCCCCACCAGGGCCTCTCCCAAGTCCCCATCCTCCACGTCCCTTAATGCGTCAAAAACTTCACTCATAAGGCTCTCCCTCGCACTTAGGGCCTTCTTACCGGTACTTATACTCATTCCCACTGCTTCCCCCGATCCATCCGCATCCCTATTCCCATCCCCGCCCCCTCCTGCTGCCTCCTCGCCGGCCTGCGTGTCTGCCAGCGCAGGATTCGTTACAAGCCGCTTCGTTAGAAGGTACGCGTGCGGCGCGTCTGGATAGAGGTCCATACGCGGTTTAGGCAGGAGCTTGCCCCGAACAACCCACACTAGGTACTCTAAATGCGGCCCCAGTAGCTCTTGGTATAGGGCGGCGGAGTGGCAGGATGATCTCGACCGTTGGATGGGCCTAAGGAACGGCTGAGATGCAAAATTGGGTTTCACAGCCTGTTCCCTTGCCTGCTGACTGTCACTGAATTTTCGGCTCTCGTGCTGCTCCTCCGTGATTGGTTCGGTCGTAGCGGCTGCACTAACTGCTGCATCTGCAACTCCTACACTTGTAGCAGCTACGCTGGTAACTGCTGCTGTATCTGTAACATCTACACTCATGACAGATGCACTGGTAATGGCTACAGTGCTAACTGTTTCACTCGCAACTGCTGCACTGGTAACTGCTGCACTGTTAACTGCTGCACTGGTAACTGCTGCACTGGTAACTGCTGCACTGGTAACTGCTGCACTGGTAACTGCTGCACTGGTAACTGCTGCACTGGTAACTGCTGCACTGGTAACTGCTGCACTGGTAACATCCACACCGGTGCCTGGCGCACCTGTAGTGGAAATCTCAGCTCTGTCCTTCATCACCTCTTGTGCCTCGGCCGAGCCTTCTTGAGCAGCATCCAAAGCAGACATGCCTTCATCCAACCCGGAGGTTCGCCCTTCATCTTGCAGCAGCTCTTGTGCCTCGGCCGGTCCTTCTTGAGCCAAGTTTTGAGTCGACTCAAAACTCGCCTCGGCCGAGCCTTCTTGAGCAGCATCCGAAGCAGACATGCCTGCATCCACCCCGGAGGTTCGCCCTTCATCCTGCAGCAGCTCTTGTGCCTCGGCCGAGCCTTCTGGAGCAGCATCCGAAGCAGACGCTTCATCCAATCCAGGGATCCGTCCCTCGCCTTGCCGCGGCTCGTGGCTATTCTCTCGATCCAATCCTGAGCTCTGGTCTTGGCCCGGCGGCTGTTCTCGTACCCGGGCCTGGGCCGAACCTTGCTCGTGCTCCAGGCTCGGCAGCCAATCAAAGACGGGCAGAGGAAGGTCCAGAGAGGGGTGGGGCAGCAGGCAGGAGAGGAAGGCTTGGCGCACGTGGGCGAGAAGGGCGAAGGCGTGGGGGCGGGCGAGGGAGCAATCGGTCATGGCGAAGGGCACCAGGCCGTCAGATGCGGGGGAGAAGAGCAGATTCGTGCGCCCGTAGCCCTGAGAGGAAGGGCGCGGAGGAAAGGGGGAGAGGGATGGAAAGAGGGGAAGAGAGACAAGCATGTGGGCGAGGGAGCAATCGGTCATGGCGAAGGGGACTAGGCCGTCTGAGGAGGGAGAGAAGAGCAGGTTGGTGCGCCCATAGCCTTGAGATAGGAAGTGGGGAGGGAGGGTGATTGGGGAGGAAGGATGGAAGAGAAACAAGCATGTGGGTGATAAAGCAGTTGGTCATGGCGAAGGGGACTAGGCCGTCTGAGGCGGGAGAGAAGAGCAGATCAGTGCGCCCATCGCCCTGCGGGAATTGGGAAAGGGGGTGGAGGAGGAGGGGGTAAACAAGGGACCAGGCAGGAGGCAGGAGGCAGGAGGCAGGAGGCAGGAGGCAGAGCGCAGAAGGGGAAGCGTGAAACACTGGGATGGATGCGAGGGGCAGGAGGGTATATGAGGCGCGATTGTCATGCGGCGAAGAACGTTAGGTCTGGGGCGGTGAAAAGGGTGGGGGGGAGAATGGGACAGTAGGATGGGAGGGAAGGGTGGGGGGGAAACGAAAGAAACACATTGGGGGGGAGAAGAATGGGAGCATATCATGGGAGAGAGGACTAGGAGGGGAGGAGAATGCAGAGGCAATCTCTGACGCGTGCTTGTTCCGTTCATACCTTCCTGCTGACTTCTGAGTAACTTCTGTGCAGCTTCCTGGTGAAGATACACGCGGTTCATACATCCCTTGAAAATTTGCAATTTCTTAAAGCCATCTAGTAATTGCACCAGCCTGAGCCTGAGACTTGAAAATTCTGACCAAGGTCCGTACCAACGAGTATTTGTTGACGTGGCATGGCAACTCTAGAATCACTGCGGACAGCAAGGTTCCGAGAACCTTCCTCTGCTTCCCATGATCCACGAGAACCGCGCCGTCCGACCGCCGACCAATCCCCATGTAGAACACCAGCTGCGCCTGCCCGTCCTTCGCGCCGCCGCTCCTCTTCCCGCCGCCGCTTTTCACGCCGCTCCCGTCGCCATCGCCGCGACCTCCACCGCGGCCGTCGCCGCCACCGTCGTCGTCCTCGCGGGCGACGCTGCTTCTGTCGCCCCAAACGTCGTCTGCGACGGTGCCTGCTCGGCGAAACGCGGCTTCGTCGGTCGCAGCGGAGACGGACGATCGTCCGCAGGACAGCGCGGAGAGGCGCGGCGGGGGAAACCTCGCCGCAGCCGCAGCTGCCGTCGCCTCCGCCGCTGCTGTCGCAGCAGTCGCGAATGTCGCTAATTTCGCCGTTTCTCCATCACTCGGCATGCCTAAGACAGAGTGGCTGGTTGACGGAAACCGAGATTCTCGGCAGCCGTTGACGGAAAACGTCGAAGCGAACGACAGCACGGTAGCTCTCTGCGGCAGCACTGACTGCTGCACCTTCGCGTTGCTCCTGCGACTCATGCTGAAACTTCGGGACGCCCCACGATTATGTGCGATTCTATGCGACCCTATGCAACCCTAGGCGACTGCCTTTAATCTATGTCGCAACGCTGGCAAACCCTCAACACCAGCACCGTGGCACAACAATTGAAAGGCTTGGACGAATTGGAGTCACTCCTAAGAAATCTCAGAACTACTGACAGGCTAGGACAAAATTCGCGACGTTGGTGCGGGAGGAACAGAAGAGGGACCATAAATAAGGACTCTACGAACTATTATGTGTACAGCGAAGTGGTAACCATAAGTCGTTCATAATGAGAGTTTCGTGGCAGAGGATGGTGATCCACGCCTCTCGTTCATAGATTTACGCCCGCATTCCGCGCTAAACCACGCTCCCTGCATCACCCAGAAGTCCCTCATACTGGTGGTGGTGATCTCGACCACACAAAGAAGGGACTCATGGGTGGAGAAGGGAGTCATGAATGAATGGGGAAGGCATATACTGTACAAGGATTTGTTTGGAGTCCCAGATTGTCACGAGGAGTACCACTATGAAGTTGAGTGGTCGGATTTGCGTTCAACCTGGAATGAACTCGTTGGGTGTCGCGAGGCAGGTGAGCGAGAGTTCGGTAATGTCGTATGCCACGGTTTTTGCTCTGAATACTATCGCACTCGGTTTGACGATGGATTGGGCTGGCGGTTTTGCGAAGAACGAGAAACAATGTTACCATTTGTAAAAGTCGGTTTTGCAGCGGGCAGCTTGGAGGTTCATTTTGTCGCCTTGCTGCTGCTTGATTACGTGCATAACAACAACTGTAGCTGCCCGCCAAAATCATCAAAAGCAACCGTGACAATTAGACTCGTGTGCATCGTCGATGTTTACAAAGTAGATCGTGATCGTCGATCGGAGATTGCTTGACAAGCCAAACGACTTGGTTGCGTATCTCCACTCCAGGCGCCAGTTGGTTCTGTTTCATGTACCATGCCAGAAGGGCGTGTCCCCCCCCTCCATCGATCGAGGCCACGATCGATCGAGTGAATTGTAACATTGCAATTTACAAGGTAACAAGATTTCAAGATGGCTTGCGAATATTACTGTGATTGGTGCCCAACGATCTTGTCACCTCCGCTGACGACGATCGATGTACTTTCGTGCCCACACCGACTTCAGCCTTTTGACGGTCGATGGGGGAATGCCTCTGTTTTTTTCCCCTGCACTCTCGATCCTGTTACCCTGGCCTCGAAATCGAGCCGCGATTGCAAATCTGCTGTCACCTCCTACCAATCTTGCCCCGATCCTGCGATCGGTATCCCGATCGTTTTTTCGGCGATCTCTCGATCGATCGTGCTGTCAAAACTCACGCCCTAAACACGTGCTGTCACTGTACGTAAACACCTCGTTACAGTACCGTACTTGTACCGAACGAAGAGGGCCATTCTTGACTAACTTTGAGCGAGGTTTTCTGCTATGTAACGATTATACGGAGCGGTTGAGTGAGGTAACGCGACAAACTTCTTGCTGTAACCCACCCACACCGCCATCTATCGTCCTCGCAATGTCCACACCACGTCATCTGTGGAGCGCTCAGCTCTTACTTCGGAACGCGGCCCGAATTGAAACAAGGTACCAAGCAACCTCAAATGAAAGGAAACTTGAATCTCTAAAGACCCTACCCAACCGTTTAGATTCAAAATAAGAGTCACTCCAGAACCGTATTTAACCGCACAGAAAAGAGAACTTGCTTCCCACTCACGGCGTGTGTTTGTTGGATGACAGAAGGTATTGCTTAGTTCGGGCCGCGTGTTATTCCCTGTCAGTAACAAGTGCTTTCCTTTTTTCAGAAAGAACGCCATTTCGTCGGCTAGTCATTTCAGCTCGCAGGCATTGAAGTCGCGTCATTCCGGTCAATAAGAAATGCCTCAGGTATCCAGGAGTTTCGCGAATATCACATGTTCTTCGCGAATCGTTCGCGGGTTACACATGGAATCCTGTGTCGAACGTACTAATGACGAAGACTATTATTGCGGATCATTCCCGTCTTTCTTTACGGTTCACGCAGGCTTCAAAGAGTCGTTTCGTGACCGTTCATATCTTCAACGATCGATCCGTGCCTGACATGCAGGTTCGGCAGCTGGTTGGGGGTACGGGCAGCGAGGCGACCGCGAGCGCGTGGAACGGGTCGCGAACGCGATGGGCGGCCGGCACGGCGGACGGCGCGCTGCATATCTGGGAGCGCTGCGACGACGGCGCGGAGCGCGGGCCGCTGAGCCTCTCCGCGAGTTGGCCATTGGGGGGAAGCGGCGGAGGGGATAGAACTGGTAAGATTAGATCGGACTGGGGAAGTGAGGGGAGAGGGGGGGGGCTGGGGAGGGAGAGGGGGAGGCGGATGAAGAGGGGGAGAAAGGAGGGAGACTAGAGGAGGGGCCGCTGAGCCTTTCCGCGAGCTGGTCTTTGGGGGGAAGCGGCGGAGGGAAAAAAACAGGTGCGCGGATGGATGGGATTCGATCAGAGTTTGCAGGATTTTTTATCTAGATATTTCTCAAAAGCAGGGGACAGAACGTTCCGCAGCATCCCCGGCGCATTTTCCCCGCCGAAACTCTCCGCCAGCTGGCCGTTCGGAGGGTGTTGGAGGGTCGGGACTCGGGGGTTAGGGGGGGAGGGGAGGTGGGAGGAGAGGGGGGAAAGGGGAGAAAAGGACAGTGGGACGACTGAACCGGTGGCAGGGAGTGAAGGGGAATGCGTGAAGGAAAGTCGCAAGCAGTTCCAGCCAGTGACCTTCGTCACCAGCTGACATGGCTTTTGAGCAAAGCATTGCCAGCCGGCTCAAAATATTCGCAAGCAGTGCCAGTGATCCTCCTCCCTTCCCCTCCCCCTCCCCTCCCCTCCCCTCCCCTGCCCTCCCCTCCCCTCCCCCTCCCCTCCCCCTCCCCTCCCCCTCCCCTCCCCCTCCCCTCCCCCTCCCCTCCCCCTCCCCTCCCCTCCCCTCCCCTCCCCTCCCCTCCCCTCCCCCTCCCCTCCCCCTCCCCTCCCCCTCCCCTCCCCCTCCCCTCCCCCTCCCCTCCCCTCCCCTCCCCCTCCCCTCCCCCTCCCCTCCCCCTCCCCTCCCCCTCCCCTCCCCCTCCCCTCCCCCTCCCCTGCCCCTTACCGTACTTTCCCCCAGCAGCAGCAGCCCACGTGGTGTGGGTGGGCGCCGCAGGAGTTCGGGGGAATGCTGGCCGTGGCGTGCAAGGGGAGTGCTCGTGGTGTGGGCGCCACAGGAGTTCTTTTAACGCATGCCCTTACCTTTTCCCCCTTCGCCCCTCTCCCACTCCCCCCCTCCCCCGGTTCCCCCCAGCAGCAGCAGCGCACGTGGTGTGGGTGGGCTCCACAGGTCTTCCAACGAATGTCCACTTCCCCCGTCTCCCCTTCCGCCCCTAACCACTTTCTCCCTCCCCCTCCTCCACTTTCCCCCAGCAGCAGCAGCGCACATAGTCTGGGCCCCACAGAAGTTCTTGCAACGCATGCCCTTATCTTCCCCCTTCCCCACTCCCCCACTCGCCCACTCCCCCACTCCCCCCCGCAGCAGCAGCACACGTGGTGTGGGTCCCGCAGGAGTTTGGGGAAAAGCTGGCTGTGGCGTGCAGGGGGAGTGCACATGGTGTGGGTCCTGCAGCTATTCGGAAACATTGCCCTCTACCCTTTCCACCCTCCCCCACTGTCCCCCAGCAACGGCTGCTCACGTGGTGTGGGCGCCACAGGAGTTTGGGGGAAAGCTGGCTGTGGCGTGCAGGGGGAGCAGCCGCGTGCATATCTGGGGGGAGGTCGGGGGCGCGGGGGAAGGGGAGGATGGGCGCGGCAGGGCCATGGGGGAAGGAGGGGGGGATGGGGAGAGTGGGGGAAGCGGGGCTGGCAGGGAAGAGCGGAATGGGGAGGAGAGGAATAGGGAAGGCGGGCAGGATACTGAAATGGGAGGAGGAGGGGGTGGAAGAAGAGGAGGGGATGAGGCTGGCCAATCAGGAGCAGGTGGGGGGGTTGAGGGTGGTGGTGGTGGGTACGGCAAGGGTGGGAACGGTGGTAACCGGTGGAAGCAGGTGGCAGTGGTGGATGTGGGGAGCATGCTGCTGAATGCACTGAATGGGGTTGCTGCTGCTGCTGCTGCTGTTTCTACTAGTGCTGCTGCTGCTGCGTCGTCATCTGCTGCTGCGGTGTTGGCTCTGGCGTTTGTACGCAGCACATTCACCGACCCGCTGCTGCTGGTGAGTGAGTGAGAGAGTGAGGGAGTGAGAGAGTGAGATCGAGTGTGCGAGAGTGCAGGCATACGGCTGTGGTCTCTCTCTGGCGTTTGTACGGAGCACTTTCACTGACCCGCTGCTGCTGGTGAGACTAAGACTGAGTGAGTGTGTGATAGAGCAGGCATACGTGTGTGGGCTTATTCTTTTTCATGTGCTGCTGCTGCTGCTGTGCTGGCTCTGACGGTTGTGCTGAGCCAAAAGTGCATCGCTGCACCAACTGCCACTCACTCTGGTACTCTCTTGCTTGCGTGTGCGTGTTTGTGCATGTGCTCACGTCGTTCCATGAATGCCAGGTGGCGGTAACATCGGAGGGGCGGATGGTGGTGCATCGCTGCAATGAATGCCTCGCCCTCTCTCACTGGTCACTCGAGGTACATCCATCCATCTCCCTTCCTCGCCTTCCATACATCCATACATCCATACATCCATACGTCCATACGTCCATACGTCCATACATCCATACATCCATACGTCCGTACGTCCATACGTCCATGCATCCATACATCCATACATCCATACGTCCGTACGTCCATACCTCCATGCATCCATACATCCATACATCCATACGTCCATCCATCTCCCTTCCTCGCTCTCCCTGTCCCCCTCTCCCCCTTGTCCTCCTCCCTTCCTCCCCTCTCCCTCCTCTCTCCTTACTCTCTCGCCAATCCGCCTCTTTATTTTCATTCTCAGCCCTTCTCTTTTTGCATTCCTATGTTCTTTCCATCCGCACCAAGCCCGAAACTTGGACGTTCATACCTCTTGAGCTGTTTCTGCATTCTCAGCCCTTCTCTGTTTTTGCATTCCTATGTTCTTTCCATCTGCTTTTTGCATACCTCTTGAGCTGTTTCTGCTTCTCCATATTCTTCTACGCATCACGACACAAGCCCAGCTGTTCGGGAAAAAAAGAAAGAAGAAAGAAAGAAGAAAGAGTATGGAATGCATCCTTCTTTTCATTAATTGGTCTCTGTTTTGAAAATCATTATCTTCCTTCACATATGCAGGCTGACGTGGCACTGTTTCCGTACGCTGACGTCAGCATGGGCAAGGAGCTGCTGTCGCGTGCGATCATAGCCGTCCATCCGTCCACGCGTGCGTTCGGCCAATCACCAGCTGTGGCTATTGCCACGTGTGCAGCAGCAGGCAGCAGCAAGGGTGACAGCAACACTGCGAAGGTAAGTTATGTGTGAGTGAAGAATGTGGTTCGGGTTAATGAGAGAGTGAGATGAGGGAAGCATAGAGGGAGGGAGAAAGAGAAGGCAGTGTTGGTGCTGCCTGCCAGTGCTTGCTCCTCATAAGCCCTTTGACCTTGGCATTGGCATTATGTCGGTGGTTTCGAGGCGCCTCAGAAGGTGTTTTCTTGTATCTCGTTCCTGAAACTTTGCTGTCTGACATCACTCACTCCTTTTCACTCCTTTTCACACTGTCGCTTCCCCTCGTCCCTCTCACCCCCACTCTTACTCTCCTCTCTTCCTCTCTCCTCTCATCTGACCTCACCTGCTACATCTAACTTCCTCTAATCCACCCATCCATGCATCCATTGATGATTCATGCACACAGGTGTGGGTGCGCAGTGATGGCTACACACACTGGCATGCCATACGAAGCAGACCTTATGCATAGCCCTCTAACTCCCTGTCCCTCCCTCTCACTCCCTTTCTTGTCCATGCATGCATCCATGCATGCACACAGGTGTGGGTGCGCAGTGATCGCTACATGTTTTGCCATGCCATTGTTGATCTCCTTCCTGCTTCCTCATCTCACTCCCTCTCATTCCATGTCACACCTTGTCACTCCCTCTCACTCCCTCTCATCTCCTATCATCCATGCACACACACAGGTGTGGGTGCGCAGCGATCGCTACATGCACTGGCATGCCATTGCCGATCTCCTGCCTGCCTCCTCACCTCGCTCCCTCTCATTCCCTCTCATTGCATGTGCATACAGGTGTGGGTGCGCAGCGATCGCTACATGCACTGGCATGCCATTGCCGATCTCCTGCCTGCCTCTTCCGCTACCACAGCAGCCAATCAGCAGCCGCCACCTGTCACGAGCATCGCTTGGGCGCCCACCCTAGACAGGTATGACTGACCTCGCCCCCAGTGCAGTGCAGTTCAGTGCAGTGCGGTGCAGTGCAGTGCGGTGCAGTGCAGTGCAGTGCAGTGCGGTGCATGCACGTATACAGTGTGCTCTGGTGCACTTAAGTCCCAAGAGTGCCCGCACCCATACACCTCTTCACTATCCTTACTCATCAGTCCTCAAGTTTCGTTCTTCCTCCCTTCACCTCCCATCGTTCCGGCTCCCACCCCACCTACACATTGCCATGCCTTGCCACGCCACTTGTGTTGCTTCTGTGCTCCCTCCTCCAATCACCTTTCCAGCAATGAGGCCATTTGCTCTCAAAGCTCAGTTGTTAGAGAGCAAATGGCCGCAAGCTCAGCTATCCTTGTTTTATCAGAGCTCAGTTGCTATCCCATTCTTATTCAGTGTAGGCGCCTCAAAAACTTGACTCATCTGCTGTCAAACCTTTCCATTATGCTCATCAGAGTTTATCAGAGACTGAAGATAGTTCTTACCATTCTTACTCTCCCTCATTCTCCCTTAGCCTCCCTCAATCTTCCCCCCTCCCCCCACCCCGCGCCGCTCCCTCTTCTTTCCTCCCCCCATCCTCAACTTGCAAAATCAACCAGGCCCTTCGACGTTGTTGCCTTGGCTGCTGCTTCCTCCGTGAATCTGGTTCGGATAGACTATCCGAACCAGCCTGGCTCGGCGCAGCAGTTTTCCGAGCCTGATGAAGCGCAAGATGCCATGGGTATGGGGGATGCTTCCGAGGCAGGGCGTTACCATACCAAGCCTTCCAAGGCTGCAGTTCAGGTTCGGCAGGTGGCTCGGCTGGCCTCCACCAGTTCTGCGCAGGTACGTCAATCACCTTCCATAGTAACCGAGCCTCTCAGTGTTTTGAAAGCATCATTCAGGCAGTTTATCCTAGCTATGCTTTTTTGTTTTTTTCTGCCACCAGCAAGTGCGACATTTTGTGACTGTCATCATTATGTTGCATCAGAATTTCATTATGTTGTGCTGTGTGCTCTTATGACATGTTGGCTGTAGTGTTCAATATGCATGGTCTTTTGGAACCACACAGCTACCTGTTCTTTGACCTACCTAGTTCAAATTATACCATATCTGTGTTGTTATCATTTGTGAACCAACCCGTGTCTATCCCAACAGGTTCATCAAGTTTCCTGGGACCTACTTGGCTCTAGCTTGGCGACGGTTGGAGCAGATGGTGTTGTAACGGTGTGGAAACAGAGTGCATTGGGAAAATGGGTAGGGCATCCTGTCTACACTGCAAAGTAGTACCATTGGTTCATGGTAGATAAAAAATTTTAGACACACCAATGGAATATACGGTTGCAACTTGTTGCAAGTGTAGCATCCTACATGTATGCCTCTTGGCAGCCAAACCATTGCAATTCTTTAAATATGTTAAAAAGGTTAAAGCTGCGGCCTACATACCTCACGCGGGACGCCTGAGTTTATCACTTGAAAACCAGGTTGCTGTGAGCTTCAGTGGCGAGGATTTGTGACCTCTGCAACCCCCCCCTGAAAAATCGCACTCTCAGGATTGGCTCATCAGTTTCGCCAAACCCTAAACCGCTCGAAACGTTTGAGGATTCGCCAAGGGTTGTTCTCCCACCTGAGTTTTTTTAACTAAACTGGCGGGATTCGCCAGTCTTGTTTGACCCCTTCGCACCCCCATTTCAGGACAAGGGTCACTTCGCAAGCTAATCAGAGTGCGTCCTAGGGTGTCCACGCTAATTGTACCCCAAAAAGGCATTTATGTATGTAGACCGCAGCTTTAATGACACATGTTATCCTCAATCTGTACAGTTTTTGGCGGGTACATTCCAAGGTTCTCATGTCAACTGGTTCGGCCTACATTCTCGCCCCGAACCACCTCCGAGTCGCCACCGCACTTTTCGCCAGCCTTCCGAGCCTCGTCACCCGGAGGTCCTCGCCTAGCTCGATTCTGCCTATTTAACCTCGTTATTCATTCTTCAGTAGTATTGTGTAGATTCTGACTTGAGTGCATTTCAGTTCACTTATGAAACCCGCGCACTCATAACAAAACAGGTTCACAACGGTCGAATACAAATCCGCGATGCGAACAGCAACGTTGCACTAATGTGGGGGAAATTCTTTCTGCACCTGCGAGACTCGCGAGACAAAGCTTGCATACATAACTCCGCATCTGACGCCGCGTAGGGTATCAATCAACTGCAGGGGCCCTGGAGTCGCAAACGCGTCCCGGTTCTGTGTTAGATTCAGGACTCAGGACACGACTATGGCACCAGCAGAGTTATTCTGGTATTTATAGCATAAAGCCGTACCTAGTTTAACGCGCCGAACAGCCGTACTTAGCTAAGCGTGCCGGCCGGCGATGGCGAGCACGATGGAGGCGGCGCAGGCGGTGCTGGCGGCGTTCGACACGTCGCTGTCGCGGCAGTGGCGCGACGAGGACCGCCGCTGGCGCGCGGAGGACCGCCAGTGGCGCGCGGACGACCTGTCGTTCCGCGAGGAAGAGCGGAGATGGTTCGGGGAAGAGGCGGAAATGCGGAGCGCGGAAATCAGGTGGGGGAAGGGGGAGCGGGGGATTCGGAAGACGGTGAGGAGAGGGGGAATAAGAAAGGGGAATGGATGGAATTCGAGTAAGCATGTCAGGCGGCTCAAACTTCCTCCATTCAGTCATTCACTGTACCTATCTGTCAGGCGTGCACTTTCTGCTTGAATATACCGTACATTGTATATTTCCGTGCATTCACGCTATATTGTTTCCGGTGCTGTGCTTTGTTGGGTACTGTACACTGTACACGTTGCTGACATCAGGTGGAGGGAGGAAGACATGAACCAACGCCACGTGGACAATGCAAGATACCTCTGGGCCAGGTACAACATGCAGCATCAGGTGCGATCTCAGGTGTAGAGCCGGTGCGATCAGGAAATTAACCACAATAAGTTAGGTATAACCAGTAAAGTACAGCTTCGGTGAGAGGCAGATGAGTTGGGGGTGTGCGAGCTTGATTCACGGATAGTGGCACACGTCATATGCAGAGTCAGTCAGGTATTCAGTCAGGTATTGAGTCAGGTATTCAGGCAGGTATTCAGTCCGGTATTCAGGCAGGTATTCAGTCAGTCAGGTACGTTTTCAGGCAGGTATTCTGTCAGTCAGGTAATTCAGGCAGGTACGTTTTCAGGCAGGTATTGTGTCAGTCAGGTAATTCAGTCAGGTACGTTTTCAGGCAGGTATTCAGTCAGGCAGGTATTCAGTGCGGTACTGCATCAGAAAGTGCGTGTCGCTGAACCCAGATACCTGCCTGCCATAGGTATCTTCATCACCCACTTGTTGCCAGGTTTGTGGAGAAGACCGGCGAGGCATGGAAGAGCAGTCGGAGCAGCCCAGGCGGATCCTGATTCTCCGCCCTCCAGTTGCCATGCCCTTTCTTGTTTTCCTCGCTCGTGCCACGTCTTCATTCCGCTCCCTCGCTTGGCAGGTTTGTGGAGAAGAATCGGCGGGACGTGGAGGAGAAGTCGGAGCAGCTCAAGAGGATCTCGAACCCTCCCCATCCTTCCAACCCCCATGTTGCCCCTCCACCCTCCCCTCCCTTGGCAGATTGTCGAGAAGAACCAGTGAGACTAGGAGGAGAAGTCCGAGCAGCTTAAGGCGAGTTCGATGCTCCCGTCTCTCCCGTTCCCACTTCCCTTTTTCCCTCCTCCTCCTCCCATGTTGCCTCCCCGCTGCACCTGCGTCGGCAGGTTTGTGGAGAAGAACCGGCGAGACGTGGAGGAGAAGTCGGAGCAGCTCAAGGCGATCTCGAACCTGGCAGCTCTTTTCGCTGGCTTCGCTGTAGTCACACTCACCCAGTTCCAAGTCACCCTCGAAGATTCCCCCCTGGTTAGTCTTTCCTGCTTAGATACAGTCACTCACTCCCACGGCCGATTCACACCTGTAGACTGTCTGTAGTAGCACAGCCCCTCACCTGTCGTCACACTCACCCTAGAAGATTCCCCCCTGGTGAGCTGCTTCGATACAGTCACCTCCACTTGTAGTTACACTCAAATCAAACACTCTCTCACTCTGTTCTGTTCCTTCCGGATTGTGCTCCACACCTTCCCGTTGGTGATTTGCTGCTGCTGATTTTTTAGGCGGCGAGATCTGGCATGTCTCAAAACGTGAGCTGCTGCTAAGGTGACTATGTGCTGCGGCTTTTGAGACGTTTCAAAAAGCGTCCCAAAAAGTTTGAGATTTCTCAAAACATGAGCTGCTGCCATTGCGCACATGTGCTACCGCTGCTGCTGCTGGTACTGCTGCATTGTTCACCCCCACCAGTTCCGAAACGGAACAACACATGCTGCTGCTTTGGTCATTTGTTATATAATTCTCTGAAATAACTCTCTCTTTTCCCCTCCGCATTTCCCACACACATCAGTGGAATATCGCTCTATACGGCATCCTCACTGCCATCTCGGTGAGTGGCCTCCCTTTCACAAGTTGCGCATCAAACAGGTGAACTGGCGCACCAGATGCACCTGTCACTGCCATCTGTCGGTTGACTCGACTTACATTGCACACACAAAAACCCCCCTGGGCCTCGCCCACCCCACCCACACCAGTGGAACACTCACGGGTGAGCCTAATGTGAAGATGTCCGCCTGACATCCTTGATGTTATTTCTCTCCCCTCCTATCTCACGTCAGGTCTGCCTACACACGGTGGCCATGGTGCAGTGCACGCTCATCATGGGAAGCATCTTGAAGAATGGCAAGGCCTACGTTGATGAGGAGGCCGAGGAGCACTTCATGTTCCGCTGCTTGCTTTTTGTGCGCTCTTTCTCGCTCGGAGATCGCCCTCCCGCCCCCCGACGCACGTTCGAAGCCTTCTGGGAGTACAGGTGAGGCTGGTGGGTTGTTGGTGGACAGGTGGGTATTTGCGTGTCACAGGCACGGTCTATTTGCATGTCACAAGGACTTGCACGATGCTACGTTATAAGGGTGTGTCTAAGTGATTACTCTTTTTTTCGTTTGGATTCTAATTCATTCTTACAATCTGGCATGGTGCGGCAATTTGCGTTGCGGCATGATATGGGTATTGTGTGGGATGGCACGGGATGGGATGGGATGGCATGGCATACACATGTGTCAAACCCATTAAGGTGTGAAGATGACTGGCGCAAGGCATTCAACTACTTCACATGGGTTATGTCACTGTCTGCCCACACGCATTCCCAATACGAAGTGGGTAGGGTATGCTTGAGTGCAGCATGGCACGAGCATGTTCATGTATCACCCAATCCCATCGAACCCTTCAGACTGTGAAGATGACTGTGGCGCAAGGCATGCAACTACTTCACATGGGGTACAATTGTGGTGTAGTTCGCTGTCAAGATGCAGCATCACACCTTTCCACTGATGCCCATCCTTTGACTTTGTTTGACAGTCTTTTGACCAGCGTTGACCCACTTTGACCAGCTTTGGCCAACTTTGACCAATGGATTTCCTCATCTTGGCCATTGCTACACCTTCCACATAGTGAAGGGGAAGGGGAAGGGGAATGCTGTGGAGAAGATGCTTCCACCTTCCACGTAGTGTTTTTCACTAAATGCTGCCCCTTCTTTAGTGAAGGGGAAGCAATGGCCAAGATAGGTTTTGCTGCCCCTTCACTTCATGTCCTCCAATCAATGCCGCCCCATCTTTTCCATCTGACAGGAATCTTTTCGTTCCTTCTCAGCCTCATTCCTATCGGGTAAGCTGTTGGAACTAATTCAGAGGTGCGACAGGGGGGATCTTATCTCCTCCTAGGCTGTTATACCGCAATTCGGAACTAGACTTTTGTGCAACTGGACATTTTAGTCAAACAGTTCTTATCATTGAGAACAAAGAACGGTATAGCAAATAGAGAAGAAGGAACAGGTGATCCAGTATAAGGTACAAAATGGACACTAACATTGCACTTGTATAAGCTACACTACTAGTTCCCAGTCATATGTCAGCTAATTCACGGCTTCACAACATCAATTGTCTCGGGGAATTCAAGAAACTTCAAAAGGACAAGTCCAAAGGCGGTACAGAACGGGTGAGCCTACAAATAGGCTTACCCTTGCTCTTAGCATCCTGTGTGTAGCGGCATTATTGAGTCCACTTAGAAGTCAACTTGTGCAATTTTTTATAGATTTCAAGCATCTTGAGTCCACGTAAAGGTCAAATTGTATACAATCCCCTGTGCAAACCCACTCTTCCCCTGGCTTGATCAAGGCTACCCTCTTTTCCCAACATTGGGGTCACTTTTGAGAAAACCTCTCACTGGGTTCACTCGATTCGTGACCCCAACACCGCTTTTCCAACTCTGTTCCCTACATTTCCACCCTCTGCCCCTACCGCCAACTTCGTCAGCTTTGCCCCCAATTTGCTCATCTCCCCAACTCCCCCACTTGTCCTCCTCTCCCCCCCCTCCCTTGCTTCCAGGTGGATTAAGTTCAACTTCTCAACTTTCATCCCAGCAGCGTTCACCGCCATTGTCATCTGCTCCATGGTCCTCTGGTGAGTGTTGGTTGGAGGGCCGCATAAAGCATGCCTGGGTGCAGCAGGCGCCCATGGGGCGGGCCATGAGATGAGATGAGCTGAGCCCCACATGAGAGCAGCGTTCACCGCCATTGTCATCTGCTCCATAGTGCTCCGGTGAGTGCTGAGACGGCTCGAAACTCTCGCGTCGAGACGTTTCAAAATCGTTCAGGGTTGTATCTGCTCCGCGCTTCCATGTTACTTTTGAGAATTCTCAAAAGATTCCATGTCTCCATGCCTGCATGCCTCCATGCCTCCATGCCTCCATGCCTCCATGCCTCCATGCCTGCATGCCTGCATGTCTGCATGTCACACTACCACCCCCCAGGGCCTATCAGCAGCTGTCATGGGGCGCCTATCTCACCAAGGGCCGCCGCCAGTTCGACTCGCTTCTCTCCGAAGCTGAGGCCTTCCGAGTGCGCCCATCGGGTCTCCCGTTTGACTGGCACATCGCGCCGGAAGCTTCCCGGAAACGCAGCTCCTCGCGGAAAAGCGGGGGAGGTCAGAGTGGGAGAGAGGGAGGTTCGAGCGATGCTGCCTCGACGGCTTTCACAGACGGTGATGCTGGCCTGCAGGCAAAGTCTGGGTCACGGTTGGGGGACATGGGTGGTAAGGCCTCCCAACGTTCAGCTTCTGGTTCGGGGAATGGGAGTGTGAACGCGGAACGGACTTTGGGTTCGAAGTCTGCGAGTTCCGGTGAAAGGGGTTTTTGCGGGGAGGGGGGGAAGCAAGTGGAGGAGGGTGAGAGGGCGAGTATGAATGGAGGAGACAGTGTGGCCAGAGAGGGGCCTGTACCCAGTCAAGTGGATTGTCTGATGGATAGTGGTGGCGGTGGTGATAGCACTGATGTTAGTGATTCGGGTTTGTCGTTGACTGGTGGTGTTGATGTGCCTCGTGCTGTGGTTGCGAGTCAAACAAAGAAGGGCAGCACTTGTGAGATCAGTGAGTTGCAGGAGTGAAGAACAATAGAGGTAATCTGTAGTACTTGTAGCTCATATAGGTACAGTAGCCCATTTTAGTCCTGAGTATGGTATGTGCCTCGTGCTGTGGTTTTCCTAATGTTAACAGCAAAATCTATGGTACCACTGTTGGTGACTATGAGGTTGGGACCCACTCCATGCATGCTATGCTATGTTAAACTTGTTGGTCCAGGAAGCAACCCTTCAAACGTGTAGTGATTTATGCACATTTACCGAACTTCTGGCAGTAGATGCCATGACGAGCAAAACCCCCAGATTCATGTACCTATGTGCTGATTACATCCCTATTTTCCTGGCCAGATCTACTGTAGTCTAGAGAGTATGGAGTCAGGCTTTGAATAAGATTCTCAACCTAAGATAAACAGCAGCAACTTAAATAAGGCCTATCAGTCAGGAGGATTCCCATCCCAAGCCTACAAATCTTTAAATGAAAATCTGCACCAGCACCTGAAGCCAACTGTCCGGTGATTCTTCTTAAGGTTGGTAGGCTCTCTCGCTCACACATCACCATCTCACAGATTCAGGCTTTCTGCTCATAACTCAAGTCCACCGTCCCCTCACTCTCCTTTGGAAACCGCAGCTCCAGCTGCTCCAGTTGCTCATCAATGGTCCTCTCAGGCTGATCAGCCGCAATCATTGCATCCACCATTGCTGCTCCCGAGGCACTCGCACCCCCCCCTCCCACCTCGGCCCTCAGAGCCTCCAGGCCTTGGGCCACTCGAAAAAGGAGGGGCGGGAGGCGGTGGGCATGGCAGTGCAGCTGATGGCGAGCTTGGCAAGGCGTGTGATGATATCTCCCGGTGCTGCCATTCGCGAATCCCCGACACTCGATGCTTTCCCTGCTGACAGGAGCTCGCTCGCCTATGGCATTGGACGTGTGCGGAAAGGCAGGGGTGTGGTGCGGTGTGGTGTGGGGTGGGTGTGGGAGAGAGAGAGGAGAGAGGTGGGTGGAGGAAAAGGTCGGAGGGGACGTTTAAAAGAGCAGGGCATCAGTTTGTCCTCGGATTTGGAGCCAAGTAGAATGAAAAAAGAGGAAGAAGAAGAAAAAAGGTGGGGGGTGATGCCACCACAGATAGCGCTTGGGCGAACGAGGGAACGAACGAGATGCACAAATACCACGCACCCATTTAACAATGGTCTTAGGCTCGCGGTCCTCATCCTGGGGGGTGGGCCCATCGCCCTGATTAGCCTCTGTGATGATTGCTCCTCTCCCTGACAGCACCACCAACATCAGAATGCCAAAGCTGCGCCCACAGGAGGTACAGGAAAGGAAACACAGAATTAGAAATGACGGGAAAGCGTTTTTTTAGTCAAACAACTTGTGGAGAGGAGATGTTGCAAGAGCGACATGGCGCAATGGAGGCAGTGATTTCAATATACCATGAAACCAGACGCTTTTGAGAATCACGTTTGCAGTGATTTCAATATACCATGAAACCAGACGCTTTTGAGAATCACGTTTGCAGTGATTTCAATATACCATGAAACCAGACGCTTTTGAGAATCACGTTTGCAGTGATTTCAATATACCATGAAACCAGACGCTTTTGAGAATCACGTTTGCAGTGATTTCAATATACCATGAAACCAGACGCTTTTGAGAATCACGTTTGCAGTGATTTCAATATACCATGAAACCAGACGCTTTTGAGAATCACGTTTGCAGTGATTTCAATATACCATGAAACCAGACGCTTTTGAGAATCACGTTTGCAGTGATTTCAATATACCATGAAACCAGACGCTTTTGAGAATCACGTTTGCAGTGATTTCAATATACCATGAAACCAGACGCTTTTGAGAATCACGTTTGCAGTGATTTCAATATACCATGAAACCAGGCGCTTTTGAGAATCACGTTTGCAGTGATTTCAATATACCATGAAACCAGACGCTTTTGAGAATCACGTTTGCAGTGATTTCAATATACCATGAAACCAGACGCTTTTGAGAATCACGTTTGCAGTGATTTCAATATACCATGAAACCAGACGCTTTTGAGAATCACGTTTGCAGTGATTTCAATATACCATGAAACCAGACGCTTTTGAGAATCACGTTTGCAGTGATTTCAATATACCATGAAACCAGACGCTTTTGAGAATCACGTTTGCAGTGATTTCAATATACCATGAAACCAGACGCTTTTGAGAATCACGTTTGCAGTGATTTCAATATACCATGAAACCAGACGCTTTTGAGAATCACGTTTGCAGTGATTTCAATATACCATGAAACCAGACGCTTTTGAGAATCACGTTTGCAGTGATTTCAATATACCATGAAACCAGACGCTTTTGAGAATCACGTTTGCAGTGATTTCAATATACCATGAAACCAGGCGCTTTTGAGAATCACGTTTGCAGTGATTTCAATATACCATGAAACCAGACGCTTTTGAGAATCACGTTTGCAGTGATTTCAATATACCATGAAACCAGGCGCTTTTGAGAATCACGTTTGCAGTGATTTCAATATACCATGAAACCAGGCGCTTTTGAGAATCACGTTTGCAGTGATTTCAATATACCATGAAACCAGACGCTTTTGAGAATCACGTTTGCAGTGATTTCAATATACCATGAAACCAGACGCTTTTGAGAATCACGTTTGCAGTGATTTCAATATACCATGAAACCAGACGCTTTTGAGAATCACGTTTGCAGTGATTTCAATATACCATGAAACCAGACGCTTTTGAGAATCACGTTTGCAGTGATTTCAATATACCATGAAACCAGACGCTTTTGAGAATCACGTTTGCAGTGATTTCAATATACCATGAAACCAGACGCTTTTGAGAATCACGTTTGCAGTGATTTCAATATACCATGAAACCAGACGCTTTTGAGAATCACGTTTGCAGTGATTTCAATATACCATGAAACCAGACGCTTTTGAGAATCACGTTTGCAGTGATTTCAATATACCATGAAACCAGGCGCTTTTGAGAATCACGTTTGCAGTGATTTCAATATACCATGAAACCAGACGCTTTTGAGAATCACGTTTGCAGTGATTTCAATATACCATGAAACCAGGCGCTTTTGAGAATCACGTTTGCAGTGATTTCAATATACCATGAAACCAGACGCTTTTGAGAATCACGTTTGCAGTGATTTCAATATACCATGAAACCAGGCGCTTTTGAGAATCACGTTTGCAGTGATTTCAATATACCATGAAACCAGACGCTTTTGAGAATCACGTTTGCAGTGATTTCAATATACCATGAAACCAGGCGCTTTTGAGAATCACGTTTGCAGTGATTTCAATATACCATGAAACCAGACGCTTTTGAGAATCACGTTTGCAGTGATTTCAATATACCATGAAACCAGACGCTTTTGAGAATCACGTTTGCAGTGATTTCAATATACCATGAAACCAGGCGCTTTTGAGAATCACGTTTGCAGTGATTTCAATATACCATGAAACCAGACGCTTTTGAGAATCACGTTTGCAGTGATTTCAATATACCATGAAACCAGACGCTTTTGAGAATCACGTTTGCAGTGATTTCAATATACCATGAAACCAGACGCTTTTGAGAATCACGTTTGCAGTGATTTCAATATACCATGAAACCAGACGCTTTTGAGAATCACGTTTGCAGTGATTTCAATATACCATGAAACCAGACTCGCCGTGGGAGATCAGGCCCCGACTCAGGGAAGGTGGGATAGACAAAGGTGCACATAACACATTTGAGACGTCTCAAAACTCGCCGCCTCACACGGCTAGTCGTGACAGGGATGCACATGCAGTGTCTATTTTTAGGCGCCTATAAATAGACTCCTCACACGCGGATTGCATGTGGACATAATTATTGTTGTTACGAAATTGGGTGTAGCATAACCAAACTAGTGATGCGCAAGCGACTTTTGAGTTTGCACTGTGACAAAAGCTCAGGCCCAATCTCCAGTGAAAACAACCTCGAGGTCTGGATTGGTTGTCTCCAGGGTGGCCTTAATTTGATCTCCCCAGTCTTTTTGGTCTGGCCTGGGTGAATATAACCAAGAAACCTGTATTTTAGGAGATAAGAGTCCTCTTTCTTTCAGAGGCTCTGCTTCGCCCAATTTATTTAAATAAAGATTGGGCTCAGTGAAGGCCGGCTAGGGAATTTACTACCCACCGAGATGACTTTTGAGTCGAGTCAAAAGTCAAAGACCGGCTGGGGGATTTCCTGCCCTCCAAAGCATGCTTGCCTCTGTCTTTTAACAATGCTTCCTGATACAAGAGTTTCTAGTTTCAGAACGGTCCGTGAGCAGACAAGCAATTCTTTGGTTTTTTACCAGTTTTTCCTACTTGCAAAGCATTCCACTACGCCGCTGCTCGCTGGAAATGTATCAACGCATGTACATCCCGACAGGAATGCACACACACACAGTTCAGAAAAAACGCAAATACACCCAAACTGTGCAGCCCAAACTGCGGAGACATGTGCACAGCCCACCTGTAGAGGTCCGTGGCGGTGGTGGTGTTGTGCGTTCTGGTGTAAGCGGGGTCCATATAGCCCACCGTGCCCATCACTCGCGTGGAGGCCATTGTGGTGCCGCCGTCCCCCCCTCTCACCAACCCAAAGTCCGCCACCTTGGGCTGACAGGCAAGACACGAGGACAGCAGCACGGAGGAGGAAAGGATGGATACTCCAAGGGCCATGTTCTGTCAGAGACAAAGCCGCCACTTGTGCTCTCATTTTGGAGTCGACTAAAAAATAGACACGAGCACAGCAACACGGAGGAGGAAAGGCGGGATGCTCCAAGGGTCAGTTTTTGTCAAAGATTAAGTTGCCGCTTGTGCTCCCTGGGGGTTGATATGGTCTCGCTGGAGGTGGCTGGCCATGGCATGCGAACTCGTGCGGGAATGCTGATGCTGATGCTGATGCGAATGCGAATGCGAATGCGAATGCTAATGCTAATGCTGATGTAGATGCGAATGCCAATGCCAATGCCAATGCTCATGTTAATGCTAATCAT